AACGGAGTCCTTGCCAGCTATACTCTATCAGACCCATCGTCCTGTACCATAAGAGATTGGGGGACTTACTCTCGCCGAAGTATGTCATTTTACCACCCTTCGCCAGGAGGAGCAACGCATCAAATGCATCAAACAACACAGCAGAGGGTTGGTGAATGGTGCACTATAACTGATTAGTTTCTATGGTTATATAACTGTTATGAGAAGACCTACCAAGACTGCTTGGCCACTGTCCACGAGCTTTCTCAGGAATCGAATGATGTTATACGCAGACTGACCGTCTAGACCTGACGTAGGCTCGTCGAGGAATAGCAGACTCGGCTTTGCCACCAGTTCAACACCTAGCGTGACTCTCTTCCGCTGCTCAATGCTGAGACCAGCTCCGGGGACTACTCGAGTTAGTAAGGTGTAAAGTATTCATGCATTGTGGACGATCACATACTGCCAATCAGAGCATCACTGATGTCGGTCAGCTCCAGTAGATCAATGATGTGATCCACGTATGCCAGCTTCTCTTCGCGAGGAACTGACGCAGGTTGACGGAGAAGAGCAGAAAATTCTAATGCTTCCCGGACTGTCGCGCTTGCTTCGTGGACATCCATCTGCTCACAATATCCTGTGGTTCGCTGGAAGCTAACCCCTTGAGGCCGGCCATCAATTAGGATAGAACCATGGATCTCTCCGCTATCTTTCCGTTGTGCCAGAACGTCCAGCAACCTGAAAGACAGATTAGTCTTTGTCAAAGGGGATTATGTACCAGAACACCTACGTAGTCTTCCCTGCACCAGAGCAGCCCATGAGTGCGACGAGGTTGCCCGGCTTTACATAGCCAAACACCTGATCCAAGAGCTGCTTTTTCTCACCATGGAATGGGACATGATAATCAAGCTTGTTCCAGGTGAAAGTCGACTGTTTGGCAGTGCTTGCAGGAGCACCAGCATTTGCTGTTGGTTGGGACGTAGCCTGCTGCCTGTTTTCCATATCTGGAGTCCGCTTCTTCTGACTTCCACGCTTATAGAGGAGCACGGATGACCCTCCCTGACTGTTGAGTTTTTCGAAGCCCACGGCGGTAAGGAAAATGAAAAATATCCACATGCCCATGATGACACCGAAGCTGCGCCAGATATGACCAACGGAGTAGTGGTACTGTTCCCGAACATATGCGGCCCCATCAATAAGGCCATTTTCATCGCTGCCCAACACAGAGCAGCCACGGTAGGCGGATGTTGAGTCTGAATATCCTGCCCCATAGGGTATATAATCAGGTGCGACGCAATCAAGTTTCAACCCCGAGAACTCGTTAGCCATAAGAGCCTCAAAAGCATATGCACCAGGGTTGAGGTAGAAGATCCAGCGGAACCAGACGTGCATTTTCTCGAAGGGGATAAGATAACCTGCGGCTGTCAGTGCCGTTTTTAGATTAAAGTATGAAGGCACATACCGCCGTAGACGAAGAAGACAGTTGACAACAGTCCTGAGATCATGGATGCAACGCCAAACTTCTTGCACAGCGCACCAACAGCCCGGAAGAGCTGCATGTAACACAGAGTAAGAGCGATAAGCATAATCCAGTAGGTAAAGAACCTGCCTGCATCCATCTGCAATGCGGACATGAAGTACAAGATTAATGAAAAGACGGAAATTTGCACTATCACGACAGGTACATCTGTAATAGCATTGGCAATGCAGAACGCCGTCGGACGGTAAAAGCCAAAGCGCTTTTGGCGGGAGAGAATAGGACGACCCATGAATGCACCGGTTGTCTCTGACAAACCCTCCAACAGGAAGTAAAGGCATGGAAAGAAAAGTGTACCAGGGCGAAGGAAGATAGAGGAACTATCCAGCTTGAGGTTATAGAAAAGACTGCCACAGACCAGTGCCTGCAGAGTAGCTGAGACAAGTTTGATAGCAAGAGAAAGTTTATCACCTGCCATTATTTGGAATTGCCTTGTCTAAGTTAGCTTTGTGCTTCCATACTTTTCAAATACCTCATGGGCACGGCTTACCGAACCGTGCAAGCACGGACTTGGTCCCAAAGGCTCGTTGTATACACGCTCTGGGGGCGGGGAACATGTTTTTTCTTCTTTTCGTTCGCTACTGCCATTTCCAGGTCGTCCTTCTCGTGGGTAAGCTTTTCTGGTGGCTCAATAGCATCCACCATCTGCGCATTAATGGCGCTTGCCAAAAAGCGAGACTCGAATTCCTCAGGAGTACTGGGAACCTTCTCCTCCAACCCCGGTTGGACAATGCGTTCCGTAACCACCGTAACCGAGGTTAAGAAGTCTGCAATGTTGGCACCTTTGGGAACAACGAATCCCATATCTTCAAAATACCCTCGTGCCATAGTCCTGGGGCCGTAGTAAATGACTCTCCCTTCTGCAAGTACCAGAATCTTGTCAAATTCATCGTAGATACCATTTCCTGCCTGGTACATGGTGGCCACCATGGTCTTGTCATTCTCATCTGCTTCACGGCGGAGGAGACGTGCAAATTCGACCGCAGTCTTTGAATCAAGACCACGAGTTGGGTTATCCCAGAACTGGACGGGACTCTAGGATAAAATGTTAGCGTCGCTTGTTCTCCGCTTGCCTTAACCCAATTGACCCTCACCTGGCCAGCCATTACTTCAGCCAAAGATACACGCTTTCTCTCTCCACCAGACACACCGCGAATGAACTCATTTCCCACTAGTGTCTTCTTGGTATGCGCGATTCCCAGCGACTCCAGGATGCCGTCCCTCGTGCCCTGTATGTATTCCTGTTTCTCCTGGAGATGCTCGGGACGTTCTCGAGGGACTTTGTTCCTCAGAGCAAATTTCATGGTTCGGTTGACCGTCAATGTTGGGAAGTGGATGTCATCTTCGTTGTTGAACATGATCTGCTGTCGGAACTTTCTTGCCTCTTTATGGTCCATACTTCCGTATCGAGTTTCACCACTCACTTCATCGAACGCATCTCGGTCATTTGAAAGGACACGAAGGAAAGAAGTGCACCCAGCACCAGGTCGACCCAATACTAGCAGCTATCATTGTATTTAGTCTACCTGTCTGTATCATAAATTCGCTCACCCTACCATTTCACCTGGTTTAACCTGTCCATTGATATCCTTCAAAATTGTCTGATGTACTGTCAGCTACTAGTTAAACTTGGCCTGTAACGCTTCAGTGCCTACCCGTTTGTTTTTTCGACTCCTGCGAAAGACATCTAGGAGTTGTCGTGGGTCGGCATAGGACAATAGGGTATCGCCTAGGGCTGCATCGGGGGCCGTGACTCGGACATTCAAGTTTCGAAAGGTAAGAGTCAAACGTTTGCGAATCGCGCCGCCACCGCACTCTAGGTCAACGGTGCCGGAGGATGGGGTATCCATGGTGAAAAATACTATTCCTGGCGCACCCTATATTGGCCATTCAGTATTCTCTTGGTTGATCTGTGAGGATGCCCATGTCATACCAATCGCTCACACTAGGATATGCACAGCTCATACAACACTGACAGTGACGTATTGATATAAGCACTACCCTAGCACTCTTTAATAGCGAACTCTATCATAACTTGCCCCTGGGATTTTATTCTTATAAGAATCGTTCCTGGTGCCTGACAAGATCACCGCCGGATTTCCGTAATTCCGAAGATAGAACAAATCACATCCGCATTTCCGTCATCCGAACCAATCCCGTAGCTTGGCCTGCACTTCTGACCCACAAGTTTGCAGAAAAATCGGATATAGATAACAAGATAAGATGCGATCTGAAAAATTTCGCTATTGTCCATATCGCAGCTGCGATGAGCTGTAGGAGCTCTATTCCACGCCACCATACTCCGTACCAAGAATTTGTATTTACTGTATGACCGTGCCTTATGAGCTGTTTATCGCTGCATGTGCATTATGCTAGATAGAGAACCCGATCTTTATGAGGGATATGTTTCAGACATATGATGATAGTCCTCTTGGCTTATTATCCAAGCAGGTCTGGAATTAATAGTTCGGGCGATTGCTCTGACTCATCGGAAATGGGCCTCATCTCGAGACTGATGACCACCTGAAACTGCATTATTGGCCATGTTCAGGCGCAAAACGGATTAAGGGGACTGTGGGACTTGCAGCTTGATTCTAGAAGTAGTTGCTTACTCCGTCGACTCGAGGTGGGGAACTGTTTGGGCCGTGCTCTCGGATATACACAAGCTATCTATTGAGATTAATGTATTGTCAGCTTACGAGTAGCTGTCTACGTTAGGGTCAACATTATCCTTCACCATGTTGGCCGAACATAGTATTTATGAGACGAGTGAACATGATCTGGCCCCACACTTTTCTTGGAAGACAAATAGGACACGTCCAGTGATAGACTGTGTTTTGGAGATAATATCGAGCATAAAGAAGTTACCAGGCATGCTATGGACTCCTATACTATAGAGTGTATGCGAGCTAAGATCTTCGCAGAATAACCGATCCCAGTTGCGTCATTTAGGTATCCAATAGACGTAAAATGGCTTATACAACAAACACATGACACAACACGTCATAAATGCCTAGAGAATCGTTCCTACTTAGAATGGCAAGATCCATATAATCTCATATAACCTAGTTTGGACGATTAGGGCTCGCTTTCACGGCCCAGGGTTTGTATGGCCGTCATATGCTCTTTGTGTCAAATTTCGTCCAGCGCACTGGATATAAAGTTCTAGTCAGAATTATCTTTCCAATTTAGCTGTACTGTAAGCGTGCAGCAGAATGTCCTAGTACCTTTACTGGAACTTTGCTGACATCTGCTGTAGCTTGGCATTCGGTGACTGACTCGCGTCAATCTCCACTTTCATTGTCTAGACGCAATTGTGCACATCATAGATTATCTGACATGTATCCATGGAAGGTTTCTCATGTCAACCGAAGTTAACATCATTATTAGTCGTCGAGGTGAAGTGATAAAGTCTATTTCGACGTACTAGATTAGGAATCCGAAGGTATATCTGCAAAGGCCTCAAATTCCCCTAGCAGCTTGGCGCAAGATCCGTTTTGCACTACTGAAAAAAGTACGTAAGGCTACCTATCTAGTAGCTCGGAGTGATGGATGTCATGTTTTGCGATTGAAAAGCTGTTCAGATTAAGCATATAGAATCACAGCCACTGTGGTATGGCCTTTGCCCAGGTTGTATTAATGGACTGCCATGGGTGGACGTATGCAATTATTGTTATATGCTGTGGTTTTGTGGCTACCGCATTGTAGTCCTCATTATTTGTTTCCTTGATGCTTTCTAACTCCATAACCTCTGACGCTAGAGACATGATACCAATCAACGTACGGACATACTTGTTGCTGAGGATGGCCAAGAGAAACGGTATGAAAGTACAGCAAAGGCCGTGCCGCAATTTTACGGAAGTTAGGTTTCACGGCTGCAGCACCATCGATATATCCTGAGGCGTAACATGCAAATCTCACTTGCTTGTCTCAGCACATTGGTAGACACAGCGCATAAAGAACTCCGCTGCGCTTATATATATGGACAAGCTCTCAAAGATAAATGGTAGGAATATAACCCTGCCGTTCTATGAGAGGGATAAGGTACTATTCCTAAACCAGAATATTTGACAAAATGATACAGCGACAAGTACTAGCACAGAGAAGAGACATGATTTCTGGATTGATATGGCAAGTAATAATAGCAGCCTTGTATTCGTCTGTAGTAAAGTTCTTCAATTATTTAGGTGCAAATAGTAATTGGACCTATAACAGGGAGATATACCATCTAGCCGGTCCGTATATCCTAATGTAGTGATGTTTCATTAATTAATGCATTATAATTGTATGATCCTTCAGTGGCAAAGCTCGCACAAATGCCTCGGTATGTTCTGATGTTTCTATACTGAGAAATAGGCCAGCAGGGGCTTTTGTCAAAAAGATGGTTAATCTATATCTGATCTCAGAAAAATGAGGCAATTATGTTGTTTTACAACATATAGTGACTACAACTATCTCCTGGAGTCGTGTTTGTTATAGAACGCGGGCTCTAGTTGAAGTAATGAAAATGTAGAGGAGATGTATATATTTCACTGGATACAAATTTGCAAAGAACTCTAAAAATTGGAAAGAAACATGGGCTAAACCGGAGAGAGGGTTAGACTGTACATACTTGACAAATCTATTTCCTTGTTTTAGATTATTTGTGAAAAACTATTGCATGATATCACGTCTTCAATTCTTCTTTTTTTTCGGTCTTCACCAACCGAACATAAGCGCCGGCCAATAAGAGCTCGGAAGAACTGTGGTTTAGATAATCACCAGACGCTGAATGCAACATCCCGTGACTCGTAGACGCCTCAGGCCGCAAAGTCATGTCCAAATGCGGAAGGAGGTAATGGCAAGCCCTGAGAAAGGGATCGAGAATGTAACTCTGCTAGGGATCTACTGTTCCTATCTCTCGGTTCCTTGGTGGGGCTTAGATCTTGCTACGGAGTATCGTCGGAAAAATTAACTAATGCGAGATCATCCGATGCGAAAAATGAGAAAAACATTTGTTACCTTTCCAGTACCGCCTGGTATAGCATGCCACACCTCATATATGCCTCGGCAGGCAAGCACTCGGGACTCGCGACTCGCGGCCGAGAAGGCTGCGACCTAGGGCTGATCGGCCGTAAGTTTTGCAGCGAATTAGCGAGTGGCGACCATGGCTGAGCCATAGACTAGTCCATAAAGCGTCACCCGGACCAAGGATCTAGAGCTATCTATGATCCCCTTATCCGGAGTGGCACTTCTTCAACCGTAGACGGCACGAATGGGGCTCTTTTCCAGTGACCAACGGCCTAGACCACTCTCAGGGCAGTCGGCTACCCGGAAGGCTGTGCAGTTTTGGTATCTCTGGCCAGCCTCTGGACCTAACTTTCTTACCCTACCCAACGTGGAAAAAATCACGTCTACAACGCAATATATAACATCGAATCTTGATCTGCGGGCGGCCCAGAATCCCCTCCCTTGATCACCCCTCGAGGTTGCCCGAGTACTAGCTATGCGACAAGCTCTCTGATGGCATTGCTGGACTCGACAGCGTCCTATCACGCACATCCGGTACCTGCCGGGCAACGAATGCTCTCGGAGCTATCAAGGTAGGATTCGCTGCCGCGCGACCCCTTCCTGATCCTCCGTTCTTCTCATCGTCGAACATCACGGTATGCATTCCATACTGAGTAGACTTTACCGCCCCGAAAGCTCGATTGGTACGGAGGGCTCACAAGACCAACCGGCGCCTTCACCCACATATTTGCGAAAGCCATCGTCGGCGCAGAATGCTCTTGAGGATACAATCTTGACGGGCCTTGCCGAACTAGGAGCTCATCGAGTAGGTTGTCGCCACGCCTTCGTCACTCTGCTGGACAACAACGAACCGTATGTGATCGCGGAGGCAATAATCTCTCATACTGCTGGGGATGATGGAAGCAAGAGGAGTTCCTTGCTCGGCTTAAAGACCTTGGGATTACAGGCAGATAGAAGCTATCCTGCCAATGGTTTCAAAGAACCACTGAATGGCTCTTGTCGCATTGTCCTGGATATTCGTTCAGACCATGCTATTGGCGGGCACCCATTTGTCACTCGATGCCCCAATATACGCTTCTACGCGGAGATTCCCCTGCGTAGCTCTTCAGGCGATATCTTTGGAACATACTGTGTTGCTGACGGCGGTCCCCGCTCGTTATTTGCCGATGGCGAGGTTAGTACTTTGAAAGAAGTAGCAGGTTCCATCGTCAGCCACCTCGAAAATATCTGGACACTACATAAATGCCAAAAGTCCGAGCGCCTTCTCGATGCGCTCAGGGAGTTTTCTAAAGGCCAATCTAGCGGCTATACGGAGCGAAATTTCCACAGCAGCAGGGTTGCTTCGGGTCTGGTCGGACCTCAGTCATCGGAACTTCCCGATATCAATCGTATCTCGTTGTCAACGGACACCATGCATGATAGATTCGGATCAGAAAAACCAAAACCCCAAGACAGGGCGCATTCACCATCGTTCTTCAAGCGCAGTGATGTTCCAAATAAGGTGCACTCATCTGCTGAGGAACACCAACAGCATATCAGGAGATGCTCAGACGAGTCTAGTAATTTGGTAACGGTATCAGAAGGTGCTACATCATCTGGAACCTCCGCCCTGCTTTCTTATGCTAGTGTACTGCTCCAAGAGTCTATGAAGCTGGATGGTGTGTTATTTTTGGATGCGTCACGCAGTAACTCTCGGAGGTAGGAGTCATGTCCCTTTTATGGCAAAACTGGTAACGCTAACCTCTCTAGCTTTTCATCTGCCAGTGTCAGTGACTGGGATGGCCTTAGCAAAGATAGCGATACATCTGCACCTCCTCAGTCTCCTGCGCTTTCATCCCAAGGTATATGGTCCGAGAAACAGTGTGACGTTTTAGGCCACGCGTTATCTGAACAATTGCCGGGCAGCTATAGCGACTCAATTCGTTTTGGCTTGACAGAAGGCTTGCTTCATGAAATGTTCACGGCATTCCCACATGGCGAAGTGTTCTACCCCCAAGGCCCAACGCGACGTTTTTCAGTACAGTCCTCGAGTAGCCGTGGCCATAGCCGACAAGGTAGTGACGGCGGCCGTTCCATCCACCAAGGTATTACACTTCGATTAGGGTTTGACTTCCCCGAAAGCAGGTCCCTGATATTCCTTCCATTGTGGAACTGGGACAAGTCTCGATGGCTTGCAGGTGCGATTATGTGGGTGAATGACAAGCAACGAGCATTGGGACCGGATGATCTATGTTTCTTGAGAGCATTTGGAGACTCCATCGTTGCCAAATACTCGCAGCTTGGATGGTGTGCCACGGAAAAGTCGAAGTCGGATCTGCTTTCATCGGTTAGCCATGAGCTGCGGTCGCCCTTGCATGGCATGCTTGCTAGCGCCGAGCTGCTGCAAACAACACGTCTAGAGCCTGCCCAACGAGATATGCTTACAATGGTCGAAACCTGCGGTCTGACATTGTTAGACACGATGAACTACCTGTAAGACTGGAATATATCCTTAAGGCAAAAGCTATAGCTAACCCTTGATGAACAGGCTGGACTTCACAAAAATCAACAACTTAACGCACCTAAGTAAGGCAGGGGAATCTGTTGGACCGGCCTATGATAATCTGACTACCGACTTTGACCTTGGGACGCTGATAGAAGACGTCTCTGAGACCTTGTATGCTGGCCATCGGTCTCTGATCAACGCTGCCAAAATAGCGGGTCGGTATCTTCCCAGTGGTGCCGGTGTCGGTGGCAGATCCATTGGTACCGAAGTCAAACAATTGAACAATCCTGATGATCTGTCTGTCGTCGTTCGCATTGAAGAACAAAAATCGTGGTCAATCCATTCGGTCTCAGGTGGGTGGAGGAGAATCGTAATGAACCTCCTGGGGAATTCGTTCAAGTTCACTCGCTCAGGTCTCATTGAAGTCACCTTGTCCAAAGAGGTGGAGGGAGTTGGCGACCAGAAGACTACTTTTGCCCACCTGACGATCAACGACACAGGATGCGGAATATCATCAGAATTCCTTGAACACAAGCTTTACCTACCTTTCGCACAGGAAGACGTGTTGACTGAGGGATGCGGACTAGGTTTGAGCATTGTCCAGCAATTAGTGACCAACCTAGGCGGCTACATTGAGGTACACAGCCAAGTAGGCGTCGGCACAAAGGTTGATGTGCACGTTCCCATTGAATATGCCGTTCAAACATGTTCACCCTCGGCTCCACTTAAACGTGGAGAGGGTCCAGGATCGCGGATCATGACTCGGGTTTGCCTGGTTGGTCTAAATCCATATACCGACCTTAAGGGAGTCCGGAAAGGAGTTATCTCGACCGAAGCGAAGCGGAAGTTGTCAATTCGCGGAGCACTCAGTAATGTGCTTCTCAGCCAGCCCGGATGGATGGTATCGTTTGCCGACTCGCTTGAAAAGGGCTCTGGTGACATTGGGGTCGTCGAGGAGTCCAGCCTCAAGAAGATCGCTGAAGCTGGTCCTATCGATACCCAGTTCAACACGATAATCGTGCTCGGTGAACATGGGGTGTCTCTCCCAGGAAACTTTGCCATTAAAAACGCGGATATTATCTATCTCTCCCAGCCGTACGTACTGATTGCCACATCCTGTTCACTGCTTCACTAATAATTGTTAGACTTGGTCCTCGCAAACTTACTGATGCGTTGCAACGGTACATCGACGCGCATCACGAAGCAAGCCCCTTGTCCGAGAGCCCCATTGCAGGTCCGTTCTCGGGATTCCCTGGCCGTGGGCGCTCCTTATCTGAAGCATTCGCTGCTGCGAAGGGGTCGGAATCGCCTCCCATGGTCAGGGAAAATGTCGCCGAGCTTTCGCCGTTTCCCACTCCCCAGGCCCTAAATCAGAAGAACATACACGTTCTCATTGTGGATGACAATGACGTGAATCTGAAGGCAAGTCAAACTTTACCTCTTTTGGGATGATAATATCTAACTAGATATAGATTATGGCTACTTTTATGCGCAAGATAGGTTGTAGCTACGAAACCGCAACCAACGGACTCGCCGCACTGGAGAAGTACAAAGCTTGTGCAGGACGATTCGACTATGTCCTCATGGGTACGAACTCCGCTACTCTCAAACACAAGGAGGGCTAAACTAACAGCGACAGATATCTCCATGCCCATAATGGACGGAATAGTATCTTCGAGCAAGATCCGCGAGTATGAAGAACAAAACTCTCTACCTCGAAGCACTATCATGGCAGTTACTGGGGTGGCATCGAGCTCAATGCAACAGCAAGCCTTTGCGGCTGGCATTGACGACTATCTGGTCAAGCCACTGTCTCTTCACGACTTGAAACGAATTATGAATGTTGAATGAGTGTTGGCGTTCTTGTTAGAGGGCCGGGGGGATTGGAGTATGGCGTGTACGCAAGCGAATACCTGTTTTAGTACTTCTTAAGTGGTCTACTAGGGCCGATAAAATCACATGAATGTCTCCCGTTTGCTTTCATTCTTGATCAGCCCATTACGAGGTCTGCTGGACTGTTGTGATCCGGGTTGGCGTGAAGACGTGTACGTATGTGCAATCGACATGAGTGGAATTGTACTATAGCCAACGATCTATTGCCCTGAAGCCGTGACATGTAATTGACGTTATTGTGCTTGAAACTTGGCCGGTAATTGCACTTCATAACTCAGTGATCAATTACAGCTGCAATGAACAGAGTCTTACAACTGCCCAATTTACACTTTCATATAACCGGAAACACCCCTACGGGTATTTCAAGTATATAGGCCGTTAGTCGCTATTTTAGAGCCACTCTTTAACAGCATTGTAAGCATCGTGTGAAGGTCCTATGCACAGGAACATTTTTCTCTTGTGGAAGTCATCGTTGCTAGCAAAGCTGTAGGGAGACTTTGACCCTCAAATTGAAGACTAGTTTCAGCAAAGTTGTAGATATCTAGAGCAGGCCAACGGGCACACCCGAAAGAGCGGGTGGGGCAGCTTAGTGCTTACTAGTTACTGCTAGTAGAGACGGTTCAACTGCAAGACATGTTCGGCAATGAAAAGCCGGCGGATTTCAACAGTGAGCCGGCACTACTACCAAGTTTATAGTGGACCAGTGGCCAAACTGACTGATAGAATCTTCCTTAACTTATACCCTCCATACTTTGAATAGTGTGTATCCCATTTTATTTGAGAACGAAGAAATGGCTCCTACCAAACTGGCGGCCGAGGCCCAATCTCTGCCGATATCATCGCAGCAGAAAATCGCTATACAACCCTCCTCTTATATGGGCTGGCCCGAACACCTGATGCAAAAGGTAGGGTACTATAAGCATCCCTTTCTGTAAGCCAACCTTTCATCTTCAGTTCCTTGGTGCGTGTCTGTATTATCTAATTAATACATTCTATAGAGTTCTCGCCTCTATGTTTGGAGTCTATTTTCTGTACTACCGGACCTGTCAACTGGTTTGAACAGTGGATACGTGCTACCTACACATCTTATTTCTGGTGTTTATTTTTTTGTGCTTTTTGTATCTGTTGGTCTACCGTGGAGAAAGACGAGAGAAGATTCTTCAGGATGCTAGATTGGGATCATAATTTATTACACAGCTCGACGAAGAAGCAGTGTGCCTATAATATTAGAGGACTTTCCAGGAGCATCTCATCTACGAAGAACACTCTTTCCATAACTTACCGCGAAGGAATATTCTTTTCAGCCGGCTTCTCTTTGCTTCGACGAAGGAGAAACGTGTACTAGACAAAGGAATGTTTGATAATAAGGAATCGTTCTACTTCACAGATCTTCTCAAACCCAAAACAAAGGCCATAGTCTATAACGGTCTTCAAATGCTTCAGCACGAAATCAAATTGCTGAGAAAGCTGCGGATGAGATTGCTACTATCTAGAACGACATCGCTAGCCCAAAAACAACAACTATCGCGCTGGCAAACGCGATTGTAGTGCCAACGTTAAGCCCAAGACGCGAGGACGAATTCTCCGCCCTACAAGTTATCCGATAATCCGATGCATTTGTCGCTGTCATGATTGTCTCCTCCAAGGATTCGCAGTCGATGGAGGTAATCGTGTTAACCTGGAAAGTATCGACAGACCTTAAATTCGGAAATTGGACACTATAGAGATTGTTTTAGTGGGGCATCCTAGTGTATAATTGTCGTCGGAACTAGTGGAACAAACCTTGAGATGTTACCTGACAACACAATGGTGTCTGCCTCCTGGAAAGGGAGGTCAATATCAAGCCCGTCATAGGCTTTTACAGTAAGCCAGACAGTCAATTTGCTTATGTTCGGCATCGATATGCTGAGATTGTGTGAATCTTCAATTATGGATTCGAAGGTTGAACGGAAAGTTACCTTGCAATGTTGCCCTCCAGGGAGAGACTCCCAGATCGGATGTATTTAAGCTCAGGGAAGGAGAGGTCAATCGCCGGTCCTCCTGCCGTGAGGACCTGAATACCATAGTAATCTAGACCAGCGCCAGTGATATTCGCGAGCTTTGGTGTGTCCAAGCTATATTGCTTATGATTAGTACGGCAGGGTCAGCACTGGAGTGCAGTCTTACCTCGAGAACCTCCCCTTCAAGTACAGATGGCCCACATCATTCAGTGATGGGAGGGAAAGATCCAAAGCGTCGTGGGGCGGTTTCTCTGGATCACACTCATCCCGGTTACAGATCAACATACGTTGACGAACATGTCGCAAGGAGTCGAGGCGTACGCTAGATCCATCCATTTTCAACATCAATTTCGCATTCGTGTCAATTATTGCCGGTCTAGTTAACCTACGTTGAGACATTCCCCCGGACCTGCAAGTACTCCGATTCGACCAACGATCGCAGATCCACCTCCCGGGCGTAACCAATGTCTGTAGACCAACCAACAGTCGCCAGCTTCGGTGCAGTAAGGCTCTGTAGAGCTGGGAGGTTGTTTAACCCCAGACTTCCACCTAGGAACTCGAGATCGGGTAAATCGACAGACGTCGTGTTCGGAAAACTGCCAAAATGGTGGCTTTGAACCCAGTCGATGCTACGTGTGACGTTTCGGATGTTGGGGAGGTGGAAGCCCCCTGTGTAGTTATAAGCCATGGCAATGCTTCCGTTGACAGTCGTACACTTTGCCGTAATCTCGTCCACGTCAGATTGGTCATAGACGACGTACGTGTACCCTTCGTATCCGCGTTCTGGGGTACAAATCTGGGCCATAGCTACAGGGGTATATTAGTTGAGTTAACGGTAGTTTAATTGGGAAATGATGACAAGAATAGTTACCAGTGCTGACCACCACGGCAAGTAGTAGCATCCATACTAACCGATAACTCATATTTACGGGCTTGGCGACAGAGTCTCGCGCAGCAGGTAGCGAGAAAGGGGCTCAACTTTTGAGATGCTACCAGCATAACGCTCCTTTTATACCCCAAGGAGATATTTGTCACAGGTCTGAGTCCTGCGCCCGATGTATATTGGCACGCACAGGTAGTGTACCAGACGGGCGAATCCCTTTCTACGGTTGTATAGAAGTCGAAGACTAGTCTTGCTAGTTCCCACTGGGCGTGTACTAGGCCCTTACTACTGCGCAGTGGACCAGTATCATCACTTGCTGTCGGCACTTTCATTTCGCCCCCAATTCTCTAACCCCACAAATTCAAGCCCTATTAGTTTCTGTATTGCGATTGGTCAGAACCCTGTATATTGTCAATATCTGTTGCGACCTTGGCAGCTTGGCGAGGGTCCAGAACCTCGGCACAGGGAACCAGAACGATGGGCTTGATAGTATAGAAGGTATGTAACAGTTACGCCGGTTTCCTGCCTTATAAATAGATTGCCTGAGAAGGTATAGGAGTGCCACCAACTTTCAGCCATGGTCGACAGCGGATCAGGCAGTGGGCCCTGGAAGGGTTCAGTAGAGTATCCCATTACTTAGTAGCTTTTTAGCCCTAAATTTGAGTATGGGTCCTCGGTTGTACAATGTCCGCAGAAGAATAATCTTACATAGGACTGGGTAAGAACTTATGTATGATAGCCTTGACAGACTTAGCTCTATCAACTCTCCTATATAATGGTCAAAGGGGTGGATAGGTATCAGTACACACGACACATTCATGCTCACGTCACGTCCCCTGCGTATAATGAATAGAGAAATATATCATGGGTAGTATTACTACTTATGACCTGCAACATCACCTATCCACAACATGCCACTAAACCTCACCATCTGTCTCAGAAGTCCGTAGCCGCTCCCTCTCCTCGACAGTAAGATCGCTTTCCGCCTTCCCAATCTTAATAAACAGCAAGAAAATCAAAGCAACACCGGCACAAGCCACCCCAAACCAAAAGGCAGCTTTATAACTACCCTTCAAACCAAGATACGCAGTTTCAGATACCGTCAGATCAGCCACCCCCAGAAAAAGACTGATACCGACAAACACAGTGGTGTTGATCACCGCACCAGCCACCCCTTGTCTATCCTTGGGCAAGTTGGTAGTGATGAAGATATTGCTGACGCTGTAAGTGATGTCGCACCCGACGGTTGTTCCTATCATTGCGGGGAAGATGTAGGCCCAGTAATTAGGGTTTTCAGGTATGAGGGCGAACAGCAGCATTGCTACTAGGTACCCTAACCCGGATATTATGAGAAGGAGCTTTCCTGGGAGGAAGTGTAGCGTGAATCCCCCGGCTGTGGCTAGGATGAGGCCGCCGGCGGCCATTGGGGCGAACCATGCCGTTGTTATTAATGTGTCCTTGCCGAGGATTGTTTGGATGCTATGGAGAGTGTCAGTGAGTGTCTTATGAGGGGATATTGACTTGGAGCTTACTAGAAATTCGCGTAGAACAGGTAGACACCGAACACACCGTATTGAAAGAGTAGTGATATAAACAACGGTGTCATATATTTCACTTTAAATATGTCGAATGGAAGCAATGGTGATGAAGCAATCCAGCCCTCCACGTAGAATGCAGCACAGAGAAATAGAAAACCCAGGATGAACGTGGCAAGTATGTAGGGGGTTCGCCAACCATCGGGGGCGTGGGTACTGTCTGTGATAGCATACACTAGCAACAGTAACCCCGGAATGATGGTTGCGCATCCCCACCAATCCATTCCCGAGTGACTTGACGACTTAACCGACGGCAAAGATAGTAACGAGATGATTGACACAACAAAGAGCATAATTGCGCCTATCCAGAAGTACCAGCGCCATGTGAGATAGTGTCCAGAGAGCCCGCTGACCGTTATACCCGAATAGAATCCTATCGGAGAGAAGGCCCCATACAGACTAAAAACAAGGTTCTTGCGAGGACCAGGCCGGTAGACTGTTCCGAGCAGCATAATACCAGCTGGTAAATATGCCGCAGGTCCGAGTCCCTGGAGCGCACGACAGAAAATCATCATCATGTAGTTTTTACTGCAACCTCCAACCAAGGACCAGACAAAGAACCAGATCAAACCGGCATTGAATACAATATGGGCACCAAATATATCGGCTAGACGAGCGGCCGGTAATAGTAAAGCACCAGTGACCAAGGAGAAAACGCTGGCTGGCCAAGTCTTCGCCTCTTCCGGTATGTCGAGTGCATCTGTTAAGACCGGTAGGATCGTGTTGAAACCACTGATAAAGTACTCCTGTTCGAATGAGACAAGATCTGCGACGATTCTCAGAAGGAGTCTTACAGCTAGAAGCATGGATGCCAGCAATGAGAAACAAAAACCTATCTCTATGGCATTGTTGGCAAATATAGCCGGCCGCTGCCGTCCAAGTTGTTCGAGCTGGATCTTATCAAGTGTGCATTTCTGGTCAGAGTGTGGTTTATTGTCTTCACTAGTTACACTGTCCGTACGAATCTCCATGGTGAGACAAGGCTCATGAGCCACGCTGTGAAATGTTTCAAGGAGTCTGGTGACCGATAAAGTTGAGGAGAAATCGTCAGGAACTAAAACTCAGTAAGGGAGAAGGTCAGAGGCTATCTGATGACCCATCGGCCCCTAAGAACATTTATTTTTGCCATCAGTGCGCTAAAAGATAATTTTCTGGGCATATACGTGAGGTATCAATTGCTGGGAATGGGATGTGAATGAGGTAGGGTAAAGGCCCACTCCGACGAGTCAGAATCCAAGCTGGTGTGTCACCCAGCCAATCGTATTGTCGTTATTGATGACAAGCTTCCTAAGTGGATCTCGTATACTAAAAGAGTAGCCAAGACGCAACTTTTGCATTTCCCTCGTCACTGCATAACTCCGCTTCGACACTCAATCCTGCAGCGTACATGACTCGCTCGGAAAACTTGATACCGCCACCATAGAAATTTTCACGACCTTTCACCCATAGACACCTGGGCTACAGCTACTTGCCTCAATCTTCCACCTGTTGGTATCTTCTGTGGGGCTGTCTTGGCAGTTTGCTCTGTGATATCGGGTTCTATCAATGCAAGATAACCCCGAATCAAAACCGTGTCACAACTGTCGACGAAAACGACGGAGATGCGACCGTTCTGTCCCCGTGTGTCACAAATGTACGCGAACTGGACAGGAATGTCTGGGTTACGGCAAGCTCTTCATCTGGAACGAGGGTGTGGCTAGTAGGGGGAAGATGATGGGCAAGACCTATGCAGTGCCAGACCACCTCCAGTCGCTTACCAAGTCCAGCCCAAACGGCAGGGACTGGACGTTCTCATGTGACCTAAATCCCAGCATTCTCGAGCGTGGTGATCTCCGGGCACCGCTGTACATGTCTCCAATTGACCCACTTTTCCAAGACATGGATAATCCCTCTAGACGTTACCTATGTCATTGTAGGCGATGCTCAGAAAGTCACTCAAGGATTCTTGCTATGCTAACCAGTGCTACAGTTGCTACAACTCTCTGCGAAGACCTTGTGATAGCTGATGTTCCCAACGAGAACCCATTTCGCAGTCTGATTCCCATATGTAGAGACCAACCTATCTTGCTCCACATTATAGTTGCCAATGCCGCGATGCATATCTCGAGTATGAGCCGTCCAAGCGTTGGCTCACATATGGGCGGGGTACAGACACTGCTGCTAGGTGATTCATCCTTGAATATCTTGAGCAATACACGGCATTCAATAGACGCCCCCGCCGGTGCAACCCTAGATGCCCTATCGGCAAAGCAGAACGCAATCCACCTCCTAAAGACAGCTCTGGAGAATCTACCATCCACAGACGTCGACCTCATAGTGACAGTCATACTACTGTTTATCAACCTCGAACTCATCGACTCCGGCAAAAATGCATGGAGAGCGCACGTTGAAGGCGCAATGAAGCTTATCAGCTCTCTAAAGTCGTTCGAGAATGACCAACTATCTCCAATAGCATTGATACGCGATCGCATCACTTCAGACTGTCTAACGTAAGTCACCATTGTAAAGCACAAAAGAAGAAAAAAGAAAAGAAAAGAAATATCACAAATTCACATACTGATCTGTCACGTCACAACACCAGGTACCACGTCCTGGGATCAACCCTCACAAATTCCACCACCTTCCTGGATCCATTCGCTCTCCCCATCGATATAACCACCATCCTCAGACGATCAGAAGCAAACAGCTATCTCTCATTCCCAACCACCCTCCTACAGATCCTGTTCCGGGCATGCGAGCTATCAAATATAGCTTTCCGTCTACCCACTACGGAATGCCACACTCTAATCAACGAAGCACATTCCTTACTAGATGCCGCACAATCCTTCGACGTAGCAGCCTGGGCAAACAGTGTCGAAGGCGCCCCCACACAGCGAACGCCAAACCGCATCCACACAGGCCTCGCCCACCAAAACGCAGTATGTATATACATATACCGAAGTATCACCCATTACCCAGCCGATATGAACTCAGAAGCACTGGTTACTGAGATCATCCACCATCTTTCATTCGTCGATCCCAAAGATCCTCTATCCAAAGCCACCTCGTGGCCGACTTTCATTGCCGGCGCCGAGACTGATAACCCGGTGTATCGGCAGTGGGCTCTAGATCGGTTGAATCGACTGTGGAATGTACTGCCGTGGGGATATGTGCAAACTGCGGTGGAGGTGATGCAGATGGCTTGGAGATTGAGGGATGAGTCTGGCTTGCATTCTACGGGTTGGGTTCAGCAGTTGAAGGCGCTGGGTAATCATTGGTTGATTGCTTGATGGGGTTTTATTTTCTCGTAATATACATGTATCCTGAATTTTCCTGTTTCTGAGCGATTAATATTATGAACTTTTATGAGATATCATATAGTTGAGAGATTTTATGTTGATAATGGGGTTATAATCATCGTCATCTTCACCAAAACACAGCGTAAGATGCAATCTAGCTCCCTGCTAGTCACCCAGTCGGCGTGTCCACATTGGGATATATCGAAAAGAAAGTCTCCAGATCCATGGTGGAAAAGTCAAAGTCCCATCCCATATCTGACAGGGTAAGGTCTAAAAGATCCTCGCTGCTACCCAGACTCCCGCTGGGCGGGTTGAGCGCGGCCTGTAACGAATTATTCTGAAACTCTGATAATATGGGTAGCCCATTACTGGTTTGAAAAGGTTGTAGTGGTAGTCCCGGTAAAGACGATTCGGGCATGTTTTGAGTTTGGGGATTTGGAATATTCGTAGAGTATGGCTGCGCGGCAGTAGTGGGTTGCTGGTCCAGGGTATTACTGAATCCCTTTGGAGGGATCCACTCGTAAGCGGGATTCAGTTTCTTCAGGACAGTTTGAATAGCCGTTATTGTGCTTTTAATCGGATCGCCTTCCCGCATGGTGGACAGACTCTGGAGAGCAGCGTAAATCCAGGGAAGGTGTGTAGGGGCAAGGTCTTTCCCATGCATCAAGTCGTATATGATGGCGAAAGAGGCACTTCCTAGAAAGTAGCCGTGATAACGGAGCTCCTGTAGCGTGGTTAGATTGGAGATTGGTTGGATAATATGACCAGCAATTAGGCGTTGGAGTAACCCACTCGGACAAGCTCGTTAGCCATAGCGGCTTCACTTAAAAATTGTATGGTTTTGCAGGAGGCTCCGAGGGCTTTGTTGCAAGCCTCATTAAGCCATGCAGGGACTTCAGTTGGGCGATTGCCCCCACGTTGAGAAGGATCCTTCATGTCTTCCTGCCACCGGCCACGGAAGATCAGGAACGGACGGAAGGTCAAGAGAATCGTGTGGTAGTAAACTACTTCGTTAGATATCTAATCGAGTTACAACTGTGCTGTCACTTACTCGTTGTCAGTATCGTCTGCTGCACGCCAAGAGAACCCGGTTGGGGACATGTATCCAGGTTAACACCAATAGCCTGTTGCATCTTCATCTCATATGGCCGATAGTCGTCTGTGATAGACCTGGCAAGTCTCCACATTTGCAACAGCGAGTCATGGTGATGGCCGAATATCTCGTCGGCTAGTCGGGCGATCTTTTTACATACGTATGTCAAAGCACACAGGAAAGGGTTCTCTGGCATTTCGATGCCGACGTCCCTTAACGAAAGCGAGCATGGGCGTCCCAGGTGAAAACAGAACCAACTACGGCAAAGTTAGATTGACCAGATGCGATCAAGACAAGGAGACGAACGTTTCGTAAAAATACAGAGCCCAGAATGTTAGCCGCCTCTCTTGCACATTGTCTGTGGACTCTCCGCCTTGGTTTGGAGCTTCCTTGTGCAGTCCAGCTGACAGCGCCTTTCGTGACGCAGCACCCAAGTGAAGAAAGCTTGAGTTCGGTCTTCCCTGCTCGCTCTGGTAGTGGGCGTGCTAGGAAGGTTAGGCTCTTGGTATCTTAACAATTAGAACAGAGAGCACTTATCATGAGCAGCGAGACTTGGACCGTCTGCAGGTTCACAATGTCATCTAACGGACCGCAAGTTGCTTTCACACGATCATACAGCACATCGCCCCAGCGATAATGTTCCGTGCCGAGAGCTCCTATAGCCAACGCTAACAGAAGCATACACTGCCCCCAGGTTTCAGAGCGAGCCCCAGGCACTGGGTTGTAGAGATTCTCCAATTGTTGTTCGAGTGACTCTTTAGAGCGAAATGGAACCAAGGTGTATAATGTTGACAGGAACCGCCGCAGAAACACATTAGCCAGCTCACGAGGCAAGAACATGACCGGCATATCCATTGAACCGCGGCCGTTTATGGACTCCTTTGGCTCATCTGGTGTTCCGAAGAAGATTCGACGGAAACTGAACATATCAAGACTAGCTCTAGCCTCTTCGACCTCGCCATGAGGCGTCTCCAAGCCCGGGGTCTGGCTGGACACTAGACCCCGGTATATTTCATGCATGATAGCAAAGTGCGACGTTGAACCATAGTACAGCTGGACCTTGCAGGACGGAGATTCCACATGTGTCGCTGACACACTGTTGTTGATAGTATAGTTATTTGATGGGTTTCGGCGCGGCGGTAGGCCGGGCGATCGCTGGCCCGCCCCATAACCAGAGCGCGCAGTCACTTCTGACTCAATGGAATCGCTATCCCGATTCAATTGGTGCTTTTTCTTGCGCTGTCTGATCACATCACGATAAACACAAGGAGTATTGCGGAGGTGACAGGTTTTGCATGGATTGCTGCCATTGCACTTGATCTTCCTCTTCCTGCACTCTTGGCAGGCTTTGGATATCCGCCAGCCTGTTTGCAAGGAGGCAGGGGTATCGGCCATTGGAACGGCCTATGTGTAAGGAGTACTTTATATCCGTTTAGGCTGTTTGGTTAGCTCACAGCTGTTGCTAATATTACAATTGACTGAATCATTATGGACAAGACGAAAGAGATCGGATTTACTCCACGTGATTTAATCCGTAATTCCGGAACTGTGTGTGGGGTTCATATCAACCAATGAAAGGCAGGGAGGCTCACGCTTTCATCTACTTAATCTCATTGCAGTCTATCTGAAGTCTCCACCACAACTACTAGTACTTTGCACTACATATACCCTTAAACGACCACCCTGACAACCCACATACACAATTCAAGATTGTGCATAAGAAAGTACGTATATCTGGTTCCTGACAGGCAACACCCTCCCTCAGCGAAATTCGCCCGAATTACGACTGGCAATTCCACTAGGCCCACGCGCCCACCAAGCTCATGCAGAAGGCACCCAGGAAGAGAATAATGCAAGCATACACTCTCTTCTTGCCACGAAGCACACGCCAGCTCTCATCGCTGAGGAAGTCCTCAGACATCAATTCCACCAGTGAGGCGAAGATAAGAAGTCCAGCGGAGATAGCGTTCATGACACCGACAAGGAGAAGGCCAACCTCTGAGTCAGGGCTGTAGAGGGTATGGGTTGCAAGCCCAATGGCCTGACCGATTGGGGTTCTGCATACATCAGCTACTCTAACCCTCATAACTAAGAGACGACTGAATGAAGCCAAACTTACGTGCATCCATATGCCAGAGACATGAGCCAGGGTTGTAAGGCTTTCTCGGGCCAGTCCAGAGCAGCGATACGAGAACCGAGAGCAAGACCTTCGAATGTTTCTGTGTCCATGTATCAGTAAAGCATGAAGTAGCCTACTAGATGGATAGGGAGACAAACGGTGAAAGACGATGGCAATCAATAGAATCACAAACTCGCTGCCGACCGATACACTGAGTGACATGCCGATAAAAACACTGTGAAACAGGATACCCATCTCCAGTAAGACGACCTGCATGACTTCCTTACGATGCTTTTGCTCCGGAGTCATGACATGACCATCGTCGCTGCGCTCCACATCTTCCTGGACCGGTTCGATCCTCGGTTCTTGCCGATATTGAGGAACCTCAGGAGCGGAGGAAATGCGACAGATACGTTCTGGGTCTTCACCCATTTGGTTGATAGCTCGGCTGATGCTGGAAGACCGACCGATCAAAGGGCCCATATCACGCAGGTGAGGAAGCGGCTCTAAGCCAGCCGGTCGTTCTCTGTCGTTGCGAACAGTCGAGTCAACTACGTGGGCTTTTTCTATGGAAGTTTCCTTTTCAGCACGTCGAGCAAGATAAGGTGGCGGGTCTGACAGGCTCGTTCCTCCACGACAGCAATGTCTGGCGGGACTAAAGACCATCTCGATCACGGTCACTAGGAACACACCCGCGAGGGCAATGGCTCCTGGCATTTCGGGGTAATCCGTGGTCCAAAATTTCGACAGACATGGGTCATTGAGTGACTGGAACGCAGTGGGGAGCAAGTGCACAAAAGCAGTGGCGATCAGGACACCGGTACCGAAATGACTGACGAAGAAGAGACATGACGACGGGATGCGGAGACGCGGAAACCAGATGGCCAGGACCGGGAAGGCGCAGGCCAGTGTTGAAACTGTTAAAACGATGAACAGCCCGCCAACATGCAACGGAAGGTTGTAGTCGCTACCCCTAACACCACCTTGCGCACACGTGCCTCGTTTCTCGAAAGGAATATCTCTTTCCATTGGTTCGAACCCTTGACCTGATTAGTACATTCGTACCCGGGATTATATCCGAAGCGAGTCGCGGGGACTATTCGTCTTACCTGGTGAGGAGATGGGGGAAACCTCTGACCCCTGCCAATATCGCCCAATACTACCATGAGAAATCAATGCTGACGTGAACAGAACGGACAGAAGCCATGAGGCCCAGCTCTTGAATGTCTGAAGAAAAGATTGAGAATTGTTTTGACCACGACCACTCTGCTGACCAGCATTAAAGCTGGTCAATGGGTCAATGGGACGTCCTGGAAATGCCCATCAGCGTCGATTCCGCCAGCCGGGTACTCACCAGACCACGTAAACAGAGGAAAGTAACGAAAAGGAGTCATACCTGACTTTATGGTCAGTGACGCCCCATTATCCCACCGTATCTTCTTCTCTGGATCAATCGGCAGTGAATTCACTCTCCCTTTCTCACTGAGGCAGGCCAACGATTGTCCGGAATCGCTACCATTCCCCTCTCCCTCCTTATTCTCACGGGCGTTGGAGATGCCATTCAAGTCTTGGCGAGTAGTCAGATCCGGTGCCAGAAACGGCGGGTTCTGATTCCACTCGTCATGCAAGAGCGTATCATCAGTGCGCGATGGACAATTCATTATGGGCAATGCTACTGCTCACGGTGATGGTGTTTACGGGAGTATTAACTGAGACAGATTGTCCGCAATTTCATCGTTGCAGAAGCAGATGGCACACTGTGGCTAACTAAGGGCTTGGCATTGTCTTGGTTCCGGAAACGATCGCTCAGGGATATTCTTGGCGTTGGTCACAGAATCGATCGTCGACAGATACGTTTTCACCCTTAATTGGGGAAGCTGTATGTTTCATGCCGTCCAAATCACCTTGCAGCATGGTCGCTGTGGTTGGATTCTATTGCTATATCTCATTATTCTGCCCTTGAAGGTTTGGACAGATAACGGGACGTTGTACCCAATTTTTGGTGCACGAGGTTTTCGGGCCGATGATCGGGGCATTCCGTAACCGTCGGCCCGGCGCAGATTCCTCAATCTTAATGATGGTCAACACCTTTGCAACAAGGCCAAACGAAGCAGAAACAAGAACATGGGCCATCAGTCCAGGGGTAAACAATGGTGCGGCCGATCCCGTTTTCCATCGCAGGCCCCATAAGGCAGTCTCTATCCACGGGACCCTGTTATCTGCACAGACCATTTTCGGAGAATATCAACAAGCGTCTCATTGACCACTAGCAGTTTGATTGATCACATATTGGGCAAGACGTTTGGCTACCCAGCTGAGATCAAACGACGCGATGTCTTCTCGTACTGGGATTAAGTTCCTACTACACTCCAGGTCCCGACAGAAGGATGCATCACCGCCCGATATTTTCCGGGAGAAATCGGGTGGCCTTACCTAACAAGCAGGCAGCTAGGCATTCTTCATTATAGTTCCAGAGTATAAAGGATTCCAGAAATAGGTCTACGCACTCACGAAAGGCTTGGCCCGATAATTTGCGTGAACGATCGGAATAAAGAGGGAGATCGGCGGAATCCGATCTGCCAAAAAGAAATAACACTCAATATTCGGTTTCAATCACACACATGGTAGATACTATGATGCCTCTCAGTATGCCCAATAACTTGGAATTGTACCTTGGGAAGTAAATGTAAACTCTAGCACTCCCCCCACAGGGCTTCTGTAAAATAAGACCAAGCCAAGACAAAACATCCAGGCTAATAACGATCTCTACTATTGAGTACTAAAAAAATGGATGCGTCGCGTGTCAGGCACACACGCAGATGAACCTATCGAAATCCGCATCGAGTCGATCAATCCATTGTGCACGTGACCGTCCGGAGATTGGAGATAAGCGGCCGTCGATCGCAGGCCCCGCGTTGGCTGGCAACAGTGATATCATGGCTTCCTGGATCCAAATCGACAACCTCCAGAATAAGAAAGAATTGTATGACACTGATCAACTTTAGCTTACCAATTCTCTGGATACAGCTGGCTTTCGGGTTTCACTAGGAAGAACATCTAATCACCTCGATAACCTTGCACACCGGTCGAGCGGAAATATATATCGCCTACGTTTTCAGTCGATTCTTATATTAACACCTATATGACGTTCCAAGCTACCAACAAAATAACCAAAAGGACTCATTCCCGCAATACCATCTAATCAAATAGTCAAAATATGGCCAGCTATCTCATTACCGGATCCTCGCGGGGTCTCGGCCTTGCCCTCGTGTCCCAATTGCTCTCCCTCCCCGCATCGCAAGTCGCGTCCATCTTCGCGACCTCGCGATCAGCCCAGCCCAGCCCCAATCTCAAAGAGCTCATCGACCAGTCCTCCGGACGCGCCTCATACGTGCAGCTCGACGTAAGCGACACAATCAGTATCCGAACAGCCGCGCGACAGGTAGAGCGCCAGCTGCAAGGCCGCGGTCTAGATGTGCTGATCAACAACGCGGGGATCCAACCCGTGACAAAGGGGGGCGCAGAACACATGTACACAATACATTGTCCTTCGCCCAAGAAAAGTCGAGTTAATTGTGATTGTGATTGAACAGGGACAATCTGAGCGACGCATTCAACATCAACGTGAACGCACCCCACGAAGTAACCCGTACATTCCTTCCCCTTCTTCGCAAAGGAGAGCGAAAGGTCATTACCAACATGTAGGACCATATCTTATCCTCCCATTACATAAAGAGGAGCTGACGGAGAAGATCCACGACATTGGGTTCCATAAGCACGGCCTCGCCGTTCATGGCGAAATTGACCCCAGCATATAACATCACCAAGGCGGCTTTGAACATGCTGACTGTTCAGTATGCACTCAGTCTTGAGTCTGAAGGCTTTACCATTTTCTGTGTTAGTCCTGGGGTATATCTCTCCTATCACCTCGACCCAGCAGCCATGCTAATCAGACTCCAGTGGTTAAAAACCGACCTAGGTGGACCCAGGGCGGATCTACCGGTCCAGACTGGCGCCGAAGCAGTGATGAAGATCATCCTCCAGGCCAACCACAGGGACACGAATGGGAAGTTCCTCAACATCCATGTGCCGGGGTGGGAACAGACGCAGGGATTCAATCAATATGACGGGGCGGAGATACCGTGGTAATCTTGGTTAGAATAGAGTTTTACAGTGTCGATAATCAAAAATAAACCTGGACCCTGGAGGTCCCAGACCGGGAAATCCAGACCAGAGTGAGTGGTGATGTAGTTGTGGATCCACCCCGGCGATACAACTCGATCGCCGCCTTCTGTAATCAAAATGTTACAGTTCCCATGACATCATACACAGGACCAGATATAATACCAGACACCGTCTTCAAGGTTCTTACAGAGGCCAACTCTGAGCAAATCAAGCATTGCCTTCCAATCAATCAATCACACGTGCGAAACCCCCACCATGGGCTACGACTTCACCGTTTACAAAGGCTCCCAGGACGGTTCGATTCAGAAATCAAGCACACATCGCGATGCACTCCAGAAAGACCAAGTGCTCGTCCGCGTGACACACTCCGGGGTGTGTTTCACAGACGTGCACTACCGGCACACCGACATGGCGCTGGGCCACGAAGGCGCCGGCGTGGTCGAAGAAACCGGGCCCGAAGTGCAGGTCCTCAAGAAGGGCGACCGGGTCGGCTGGGGCTACGAGCACGACTGCTGCGGGCGGTGTTCGCAGTGTCTGACCGGGTGGGAGACGTTCTGTGCCGAGCGGAAGATGTACGCGGCGGCCGACCTGGACCAGGGGTCATTCGCGTCGCATGCCGTGTGGCGCGAGTCGTTCCTGTTCCCGATCCCAGACGGAATCAAGAACGAAGACGCGGCGCCGTTGATGTGCGGCGGGTCGACGGTGTTCAACGCGCTGCATGTGGCGCAGGTGCGGCCCACGGCGCGCGTGGGGATCATCGGCGTCGGGGGCTTGGGCCATTTGGCTATTCAGTTCGCGGCCAAGATGGGCTGTCAGGTTGTTGTGTTCTCAGGGAGTGATAATAAGAAAGACGAGGCGACGAAACTGGGCGCTACGGAGTTCTATGCGACGAAGGGCGTGAAGGAGCTGAAGATCGACAAGAAGTTGGACAACCTCGTCGTCACTACTAGCAGTCAGCCGGATTGGAATCAGTATGTTAACGTTCTGAATCCCGGGGCTACGATTTCGCCGCTGTCGGTCGACACGGAGGACTTCAAGTTCCCGTATATGCCGCTTTTGGCCAATGGCTTGAAGGTCGTGGGCACGCTCGTCTCAGCGAGACAGGTCCATCGTGATATGTTGGATTTTGCGGCCTTCCATGGTATCAAGCCTATTAATATGACTTATCCGATGACTAAGGAGGGTATTGAGGATTGCTTGAAGACGTTGGAGGAGGGCAAGATGAGGTATCGGGGTTTGCTTGTTGCACAGTAGTGCTGATGTCTTAATACAGAGATTATTATTCATTAGGTGTGTAATTATTAATACCTTGCAAGATACTTGCCCCTATACATTGGAGACTCTTCTTTAGATGCTTCCCTCTCCTGGTAACGAAGACACCGGATGCATCGCGATGAATCTAGCTACATGGAAGTATGTGATATTGATTCGTGACTATTATTTTAATATACATCAAGTGATGAGATCTCCGCGCCCCGGCCCACACTAGGGCAACATCTAATCACCATCACTCACATCTCCATTCTCTCCCCGCTGCTGCCTGTCAAACAGAGCCCGCACTGCCTTCGCCGTCATGGGTCTCTGCTTCAACATACTTTTGGCCAGTGTATGCGTCAATATATTCCTCACAGGCTGTCGCCTTGAAACCCCCTGCCAAATGCGCCGGTCATATGTCATTAAATAAGCAATCTCCGCCCTATCTGGCGTCTTCATAAACGCCATCCGCCTCTTCGGCGTGATATTCTTGATTCCCAGGACCCATTGTAGATTCGACAGAAAGAGCTGATCCAGCTCCAGCTCCATCAACCCATCACACAACCGTAGTAACCGCCAGCACTGCTGTACATACTTCCGATCCAGATTCACACCCTGCTCATCCGGATCAATCATAAACGAAATCTTGGTAATCAACGACCGGGTCTGCGGCCGAATACACGATAGGAAGTTGATAAGAACAGTCGTGTTCTCGAATGCAAACCAATTCTCCGTCCAGAACACATGCGACGCCTCTTTATAAAACCGTTTGTTAATCAGGAAAATATGCAGATTCTGTCGTCGCGCACAGAGACACTTGAGATTCCGCAGCGTGGGATGCGGTTCTCGCTTGGCCCTAACGTTCGCCGAGTAGCAGTTATCGCACAGATACTCGTTCGTCATCGGAGGCGACCATTGACTGCGTGCCGGCGACACAAAGACAGGACGTGCTTGGCTCCAAGCGTACGATCGACAGTCAGCACAGGCGAAGTTCATACTCCCCTCTGGGCCCGAAGCGGTATGGGCTGGACCCGGGTATTCGTAAAATAGTCGCTTGCATTGGAAGGAGTGGTTGAAGCCGAATTTGCATGGCTGCACTACGAGAAGACGGTAGACATGGTTTCGCACTTCGGAAGGCAGGGCGAAGAATCTGGATCGTCAATTTCGGCCTGGATCTGGGGACATGAATGACGGCCTCGCGTACCTGTCCAAGAGATCGGGCTCGGTCTTTTGCGCGATTATTGCTTGCAGTCTGGCTTCTGCCTCTGCCGCTGCTTGCTGCTCGATGATGGTGCGATGCTTAAGTCGCGCTCGTTGCACGCCCTTGGGTTTTGACTTGGCGCGCAGTCGTACAGCTGGATCTCGCGCGAAGGGATTACGCGTGATGAGTTGAGGTTCGTAGATGGCCGCCGCCATGACTGATACTCCGTAGTGTTTTAACTGGATTATGAGGATACTTTGTGGTTGTGATCTCCGCAAGGGAGTAGAGCTGGTTTAATGCCCCGCGTTTTGGTATGATCTTGTCACCGTCTATTTTTGGCAGTTTCCGGTAGTTTGCTTGCCAATCGTTAGATAAGGTTGAGTCATTCGGCGCTCGTATAAGCCTCGTTTTGGTGGTGGCGTTGACTCATGTCTCACCCCTCTAGTTATATGTCAGTCAACTGCAAGGTTAGAGTTTGGCACAAGTCTGCAGAGCACAGTGATCTTCAAACTTAATTGATAGATCGTTGTACGAAAGAGAGAACCACTGCAGGATGTCTGCCTACAACGTAGGACCAACGCAGGATGGGCAAAAAAGAACGGTCCGGACCGTGTCCGTGCACGGCGCAAGAATCAAAAGAGAAACTTATTTTCCTACTTTTCAACTAGCTGCTTCTAATAATTTATATAATGGTACATTATCTTTAATACAGTGAAGATACTTCTACATGTCTCTAGCAGTCATAAGCAGAAAGATGAGGTCTTACATCCTTCGATACAATGGCCTTGATTATCCAAGTTCATGAACTCTTCGTCCTCGTAGTTAATATCCGTCATAGTACTGTACTAACTCATTAAGAGCGCTATATATCATCATATTTCTGTGGCTGTAAGCACAAACGTCCTTGTAGCAAGATGCAGAGGACTTTGCGAATCCTTGGAGGAGTGCCCGTGAAAAGAACCCAAGATTTGGAGCACATTCCGAGGAGCTACCGCAGTAGTCTTACAAGACAGAAGATGCTATATTCTACGCTGATGGGTGAGGTATTAGGTTCCTGGGTGTTGAATGCTGATATCAATTGAGGTAACGTTCAAGTGCCCCTCCTAGATTCAATGCCGTAACGAAACTATTGACGGACGATCAGATTCTCAGCTGTGCCATTGTCTGACGATCGTCAATCTCCTATCAATGAAAGAGCCCTAGAACACATAACGGAAATTCGAGTTCTCTTTATCAGTCATGTCCTCCAATGCCTCCGCCAAATGTTTCGAGCTGGAAGCATCTCCGTTGACTATTTGACTCGCATCCCTTCTTTTATTCTCAGCCCTCAAATGAATCCATAGCAAGACCACACACACAACCTCCAAAAGGTGCGAAACAACCATGCTCCATATCCCAAGCGAGTAAGTGGGTTTCTGATGTTCTTTGTAGAAAAAGGGACCAGCAATATTCCCCGCGCAGTAACCAATAAAAAGGATACCACTAGACGTCACCTTTTTCGTATGTCCTGCTATATTCGTAGTAGTCAATGATAGAAGCATCACGAACGACGCGTTATAGGAGCCTGTCAGCTGTGTAGATGTCAGAGACCGGTATATCCCCGGGAAAAGCACAACAGGTGCCCTTACGTAGTAACATATGAGACGGCCAACTTTGGCACTTTGAGGCACGAAGCGAAGGCCAAAGGCAGCGGCAATATTAGGTGCCAGGAAGACCAGAAGCATGAGGCATCTGCTGTTCGGGGGCATTTTGGCGTTGACCCAGACACAGACTAGAATGACTACGGAGATGAAGATCCCGTATGGTATTTGGAGCAATGTGGTGCCCACTGTCAGAGGTCAGTAAGATGGTTTTGTAATATGCTGCACACATGGAGTACCCACGAGTTGAGAATCCAAATCCTTGGATGATGATTGTACCAAAATTGGTGACTCCGCCATTGACAATCGCCTGGAAAAAGGCGATCAAAAAGAAAAGAAGAACTTTGACATCAGTGATAGCTTCAAGGAACTGATAGAGCTTGAATTGTCGGTTCTCGATTCCGGTCTGATTCTCTCGCAGCCGGTTAATCATGATCGTTCGCTGTGCTGGCGTAAGATAGCGAGTGTTGATGGGTGAATTAGGAAGGACTACGAGCATGACGATTCCCCATGCAACACACAAAGCCCCAATGATAATGAATTCATATTTCCAACTGGGAAGCGAGCCTTTGATTTGGCCGATTCCATAACCAAGCACACCGCCACCTGCAATGCCCAATCCGAGGGCCGAGTACCAGATTCCGATTCGAATAGGTTGTTCGCTTCTTTTGTACCACATGCTGGTGATGATCATGAAAGAAGGATCTGCACAGGCCTCTGCAGCACCACTAAGCCCCCGGAGCACGGCGAGTGTGGCGAAGTTTGGCGAAACGGCTTGTAGGACAAGGAGGACGCCCCATGCAATAATGTTGATGCCCATGTAGGTCGCGGTGGGAAGTCGTTGCATCAGAAGATTGGTCGGTAATTGCCAAGCCAAGAAGCCAAAATAGAAGATCGAAGATAGCCAGCTATACTGATTACCGACAAGCTGTAGGTTGTCTTGAATTCCGAAGATTGCGGCATACGAAAGTGTAGTTTTGTCAATCTAGTATGCCAAGGGAGGAATAGTTAACCGATATCCAGAGATCACATCGGCATTGACATGTATCATGTCTCTCAGAACAACTGACGACTCACATAAAAGAAGATGTAAGACACTGCTAGACAGGGTAGAATGATCCAATCTATCTTGCGTACGAGGCGCTTCTCCTCTGTGAGACTAGTAGGCTCTTGAATCTCGGCACATTCAAGGAAAGCATTCTCTGCGTGGGACACATTCTCAACATGGTCCACGTTTTCTTTATGTGCAACTTCAGTAGCCATCATTATAATAATGCAAGTGTGTACTTGTTTAATGGAATAGTACGCTATATATGAGGATGAAGACTTGGCTATAAAAACATATTTAGCGTAATGTACTAGTCAAGCATTTACAGACTCTTAGCAGCGCGGAAAACTGGGGTGATCATGTCGAGTCCAACCCCTCTCTGAATTCTTTGCTGAACCAGGAATCGGAAAAGGAACCTCGGAAGGACCGGGTAAAGCCTTCGGCATTCTCCCAATTTACATTGGTGCGTCTCAAACGGCATTTCCTGTGCTTCACGCAGTGATCGAGCCGGAGATCCAAGGCTATCCACCTGCGATGTAGCCTGTACCCACACTCCGTATCTGATGCGACCCCGGTACTGCTCTATCAGTCTTGATTGACGGAGATCAAGGAATGGATCGAATGGGCAACCATTGATAACAAATAAAGGTTCAGAAGGTTGGTTTGTAGCAGCATTGAAATGAAGCCGTATTCCTGCTAGGTATCTAGGGCGGATATGCTTCGTAGAAAGGCGGGAAAGTCTCATCAATACGTGGAAGCCTGAGTGGTCTCAATCTATTTCGCACAATGTATCATCTAACTGAGTAAACAAGCAGAATTTGCAACAGATCTTAGAAGTAAAAAAGAAGATCACCACCGCAGCGCCCACGCATCCACAAATCGTTTGATTAAGCCAGAATCAATCAACTCCACACCACGCTTCAGCGAAGGACTCGCGCTTTTCGTCTTTTCCATGGCAAATGAAAGTCCTGCACAACTGGGGGTATCGTTATCATATTTCTCAGCGAAGAAGCCCAACAGTTTGATCGTTGGGTTTTTCCGCAGATCCTGCTCGGATTCACGCAGACGTTGCACCCATTCTTTCTTGGGAATGACATCAAATTTCAAGCCCGCCTGCTGTAGAGCTGACAAGAGATCCTCTGTCCATCGGAAAGTTCTGGAATTCTGAACATGGTAGACTACGCTGGGGTCGTGAGCAAGAGCCTTGGCTTTATCGTTGGAGACGATCCCACTTAGCTCTAAAATGGATCTGGCAACTACATCAACCGGAAGCCATGCCGGAGTCTCATCTAACGCTGGCAGCGCTCCCAATGTCTTTGCGGTCCGGAGCATAAGTGGAATCGCCTCAGTCGGGTTCCAATACTCAGTAGCAGTGTCTCTGACAATCTGTCCGATTCGGAGAACCCTTGCTACCATCCCAGTAGTCAGCGCGGCTGCATGAACAATTCGCTCAGCCACAAGCTTGGACTGAGCGTAACCCATATTCTGGGCATGTGCAAGTTCAGGAATCGGACATTCGGCGATCTGCGCTGGAAGAGGTGTAGCGGCAGCCGCAGAGATCGAAGAGCAGAAGTAAAACTCCGCGGGAGAAGATCGGCGACTGGATAGACAGAGATTGAGCAGGGTGTGAACGCCTTTGATATATTGTTGCTCAAAACTGCGAACACCCAAGGTGAAGTTTACGGCCCAGGCTGCATGAATGACATGTGTCAACGAACTACGCAGTTCATCGATGGTTGTGGCTGGAAGACCTAGGTCTTCTTTCCCGAGGGTCGAAGGGCATGCGGCAATCTTATACGCGTTGTAAACGGTAGAGACCTGGAGGATAGACTCGAAAGCACGCGGTCCAGCGCGTTGTTTTTGGACGTTGCACGCACAAGGCAGAAAACCTTTTTCACCGAAGGATTGTGTAATAGTTGAGACAGGATATATACTCCCAGTGACCTGGTGGCACCCGTGAGAATCTAGGTGGGTGGATCGTTAGAATGTTTATATGAGGAACGCCAGAGCCGGCTACTTACCACAACTTGATCACTAGGTGGCCGATTGAGAAAGGTCGAATATTGAGTGATCATTTGTGACATCGCTTCCAACTCGGTCTCATTGACGCAGTCATCTCCTGTGCGTAGCGCATTCAGATGCTTGGCCAACTTTTCAATGGTGCCGCAGTCAAAGACAACACTGTGCGCGAGAGAGGCACCTCCAATATCAATGTGTGACTGAAGAATACCACGCGCCTTGATTGCCTGCAAGCTGTCGACACCGGCCTCAAAGAGATCGGTATAAATTGAGATATTCGAGAAGCCAAGGTCTGCGCGAAATATATCCAGCACAAAGGTTGTCAATTCCGGCAACTGTAGAACGTGACGGGGCCCTTGATTACCACCGCCATTTTCTAGACGTGTATACGCAGCTTGAATGAGATCGTCGAACTCTATATAACACTTGTTCCGGATCATGGTTCCCTTATCAGTCATTGGGTAAGAACAAGAGTGATCGAGGATAATGACCATATTGCGCAAGATTTGACTGAAGGCTTCGGCATTCTGGTTGGCTGCCACAATATCAGGCCGGATTCGATCCAGGATTTCCTCGGATGAAAGTCCCTTAGACTCGACGCTCGGCACCATAATCAACCCTGGGAGTGGCTTTGACACACCGAATACGAGGGTATCCTTCACGGATATGTTTTGTCGGATACGATGTTCGATCGGCACAGGAAGAACCTTCTCTCCATTTACCAGTGTGACCCGATCATCCATGCGGCCGAGGTATTTCCAGGCATCGGAGATAGAAGGGTGCTTGAGAAAAGTGTCGCGGGTGTGGAAAGAGTCGGGAGGGTCGTCAGAGTTGGAAGCGACTTTGGATCGCAGTCCATCGAGAACAATACACTCGTAGGAGCCGTCTTCAGTAAGCTTAAATTGCACGAAAGGCTTCGCATTTGCCAACGGCCGAACATAATTCCAAGCTTTGTCTTCTGGGGGTCGTGCGGATGTCATCAATTGTCCTAGCTCGGTGGCTCCGTAGGGGCTGATCAGCCGGACGCCAGCGTTTACTAGCAAATCACCAAGAGCATCAGGGCAACTGCTGCCTCCAAAGAGTGCTTATTCGCATTTCACTAATTCATTGACACTTTCGTCCGTTTCGCTTAGGAGCTTTAAGACGTACGGTACGCCGTGAAAGCTCTCTGGGGCAGCGACCTTCAACGTTTCCAATATATTCTTCCCAGTCAGCGGAAGGTTGGCGTTGAAGATCGCGACTAGTTTCCTTTTGAAGAGTGAGCGGAAAAAGGTAGATAGGCCATGGTTGTGGAAGAGTGGCAGAGTGAGTAGAGCTCGGTAGCCCTTGCTGGTACTGTAGTTGGAGATGCAAGCCCCCTGGGTTTGGAACATTGGCTTGGGGAGACCAGTGGAGCCAGAAGAATGGACAATAAAGGCCCATTTTTGGGAAGCCTGTGGTGTCCGATAGGCCTGTGAGGGTACACTCGATGGCCCATTTGAGTATTCTGAAAATTCCGGGATTAGAAAAATGGACGCAGGTGAATGCTTCACCACCTTTTCGACCGCCTTTTTGTTGGACTGTGCATATACAATATCGGTGCACTCGGTCAGAGCGAGTAGGCTGGAATACACCTCGGTGCTGAGGCGGGTGGAAAGTAGCAGAATGCTGTATCCCATTCGAGACAACGCGAAGAGCGACACGATGTAGTCGAGATTTGAGGGGCCAAGGATGGAGATAACACGGTTCTCGGCGGGGTGAGAGAACTAAACAATAGTTAGCAATCAGAATGCCCTCGTATCATCTTGACTCAAAATTTACCTCTGGAAGGCCCGCTAATTTAAACCGCTTGACAGCGCCGTTGGCGAACCTGTGCAGATCACGCGGGGTATAATACTCATAATCGCTAACACCATGCGCACTCTTTGGATAGCCAACAAGGGGCTCATCTGGCGCATCCCGCACCAAGTTCAATAGAACATCGTCGGTTATGCATGGAGGCTGAGATCCGTCAACTGGTGGACTTGGGGGTAATTGGTGGGTGAATGCAGCCTTAGGGCTGTCCTCACCCAGAGCCTTGAGTGTATTTGAGTATAACATGACGGGTGATCTTTATTATGCAGCTCGTTATCAACACGATGTGTCGGATCAAAAATCGTAGTAAGTTGTTAAGTACTAACTCAGTGGGATAATTGCCCATGAGCATTTACATTATCAGTTAGAGTAGCCAAAGAACCAATCGGACAACATTGAAGGGAGGCTTTGGCCTCAAGATGCTTTTCCGGGCCCATCCTCTCATTTCCGTACACCAATTATTCGGCTTCACAGAAATTCAGACCCCTGATCTTGCGAGCCCGAGGCTATTAAGAGTAAAATTATAAAGTCACAACCGACAAGCATGCCATTAAGAGCTCTGGAAATGAAACACACAATACGAACATTCGAGGTAAAAATATGGGGCGTTGGTTAATTCACGGAGATGCTGAGATCTAGTTGACAATCGGTATAGGTATAGGTTAGTAGTCATAGTGGGTAGAGCTATCAAGCAAGAGGATATAGGAATCCGGTCAAACAGATACCCTATGGGCAAGTGAGTGATTTGATGCCACTGACCAGACGTGTAGTATGACAAATTGTGTCAGACCGTTTGATTGACACTTCTTTTCCTAGCGCGGTCGATCTTGGATCCACTTATCCGTCTTCTGTGGGGCATTTACTCGGATATGCAATATACGCAACGTTTATGGAGGTGTAGCCTTTCAAGCCTTGGAAAACTAGTACTCTCTGCGTTGTCTTTGCGCCAATCGTCTACCCCACGGGGAACCTTGCTTACCCCAGATATTTGAAAGATAGAGCTTGGTCCTTCCCAGGAACGTTATACTGGTCACTTTGGTCTGCTCTTCGTCTATTTCTACCCCGCCATTTTCTTGGAAGTTTCTTGGCTCTCTTCCTGTTACACGTTTTGAGTTGAATCGAATATTGGAATCCTAAGTTATGGACGGTGCCAAAGACCCCGGAAACCATCACATTGAGCAATGTGCCGTCAAAAACCCCAAAGATCAAGATCTCAGGCCAGTACCGACGGCCTTGATGGATTGGTCTCCAGAAGACAGAAAACGACGCGAAAAAGCGCTGATCAAGAAGATTGACACCCGACTACTAATCATGATGTTGGTTATGTACATCCTCAACTACTTGGATCGTAACAACATTGCAGCGGCAAAGTTGGCCGGCCTGCAAGATGACTTAAACCTCAAGGGGGAAGAATACCAGGTAAGATACCTTCCACTGAACAGGAAACCAAACCCATTTCGAGATCTGACCGCCAGTCAAAGGTCTGTGTTAGTATCTTATTTGTCGGATACCTCTTGATGCAAGGTAAATCTAGCTTTGGAACCTTGTTGAAAATGCCAAGGGCTAATCACAGTAGTGCCGTCGAATATGATTCTCAACAAATTTGGCAAGCCTTCGATCTACTTGCCAAGTTGCATGGTGGTGTGGGGTGTCATCTCCTGTTCCACTGCTGCCACACAAGGCTTCGGAGGCTTGCTGGCCGTCCGATTCTTCCTTGGGTTTGTTGAAGCTGCTTATTTTGTGAGAAAACACTGGCTCCCGCTTACCGACCCCTCCAAGTTGCTAATATACGCCAGCCTGGCTGTCTCTATCTCCTGTCAGCATGGTATACAAGGAAGGAATTAGTTAAACGGACCGCACTACTATACGCCGGGTCATTGATCTCCGGCGCATTTTCGGGCTTAATTTCCGCAGGCATCACAAGCGGCTTGAACGGCGCCCGAGGTATCGCAGCATGGAGATGGCTCTTTATTATCGAGGGGGCGCTGACGGTAAGTTTAACCACTATGTCAGCGGAGTAATGTTGATTATATCAGATCTTTGTCGCTTTATTCGCTTTTTTCATCGTTCCTGATCTCCCCAGAACGACGCCCTGGTTAAGTGATGACGAGAAAGTTCTTGCGGCCTGGAGACTAGAAGAAGATATCGGCGAAGACGACTGGGTGGATAGTGAGCATCAAAGCATGTTCCACGGTGCAAAGCTGGCTATCTTGTAAGATGCATCGTTTCCCCTGGATCTTAGTCGTTAAACTAACAATGTCCGTCCGATCAGAGACCCTAAGACGTGGCTACTGCTGGGCGTCATCTACGGCTGTACGTCATCTGGAGCTGTAACCACTTTCTTCCCAAGGTATAGGACTCTCTCCTAAATAGCTCCATAGCACGTTGTATGAACATCGAAACTTACTTATTCAAAGTGTGATGTCCGGACTCGGCAAGAATAACATCGACACCTTGCTCCTGACGACACCACCATATCTCATAGGCACAATTATTGTGTTGATCCATGCCTGGAACGCAGACCGCACAGGAGAGCGATACCTCCACCTTTGCCTGCCACCCATTTTCGCCATAGTGTCATTCATCCTCTACATGGCTGGAAACGACTTTGCCGCTCGTTACGTGTAAGTCCGCAAAATCTGTGTCACAAATGAGCAGCTATTGACAGAGGCCCACAGCGCAATGTGCGTCATGCTTGGTAGCATCTATGCCAGCTACGTCGTTGCTCTCGGATATATTTCCAACAGTAAGAACCCCCTTTTCGGATATTATCAATAACCGATATTAAAGAGTTTAGTTCTTCCCCGCCCCGCCGCAAAACGGGCAGCTGCTCTGGCCTTAATCAATTGTCTCAGCAACGTGGCCCAGATCTATACCCCCTACCTTTACCCTGGTAGGTTCCGCACCTAGTCAGAAGAAAATGACTATATGTGGACGATTGCTAATCAACTGAATGACAAGACTCGGCCTCGCCGCGATATATCACTGCGTTCAGTGTCAACATTGCCATGTGCGCTATGACGATCATATTTTCTACTGTCCTTCGCGTTTATCTCGGGAGATTGAACAAGAAGCTTGATCAAGAGGAGGGTGCCGATTTGTTCACGTATGCTGGTAGTAGTGAAGGGCCTGAGGTGGCTGCCAACAGGGGCTTCCGGTTCTTGCTTTAGAACTTGAAGATCTGGACTCGGAATCTTTAATTATGCTTAGACAGTCCTCCGGAAGCAACAAACACATATCAGAGTGCAGTTTATACCCAGATGTAGATATTGAGACCTTCTGACTCTTAGACTGCGTATTGAGCGAAGTAAATGGGTGTTGACGATGATTTCCACGGATATGAAGATTGTTCAGCGTAGGGCATTCTTAATACGTGTAAGACCTCTGTGGAATTTGAATCCTCCAGTGTAGTATTCTTTTGCCTCAAGGCAGGTAACCATGTTGATTTTTAGTGTAATGGATTCAAGCCATACATGAATAAAAGCTGTTATGATCGAGTCGGATTGCTGGAGGATAAGTTTCAATCAAAGACCACAAATGTTAGCGTAAAAGCGACCCAACAGGCAAGAAAGGGGCCTTTCTACTTTTTTTTTTTTTCTGGTAGACCCAAAGTATTAGGGTGTTTTGCACTCTCAGGACTCTAAGAAAATATATTAGCACATTGACTGGTTATCATACAAACCGTGGTCACGTAAATTCCAAATTGACTGCTCGCAATCATGAACGTGCTTTGACTAGCGACCGCAATATGCGGGAAAGAAACTGGACCCTATGTTGCAAGGTTAACTTGACATCTCGCGCTTAGACGCTGGGTCCAGGCTGCCTTGGAACCCGCCAAGAATTGGGAAGGAAAAAATAGGAGAATTAATTATTGGCCTACCGTACCCCACAGGCCCACTGTGGGCGAACAAAGGCGTCCAATAACCCGACAAGCCACATAACCACCGCCAGAAGGAACATCAATCACTCCATCGTAGTCCACGTCAGCCGCGCGACCGGTCAGGGGTGCCTGGTCCCCACGACGACACACAAAGCACGAGGGGCGTTGCCCGTGGGCTTCTTAAGTCGCAACATGGCCTCCTTCACCCGCCGCTGCCACCTCGGCGCCAATCCCTCAGCTCCATGACGGCCTTTCGTCCTGCTCACCATCCGCCGCGCGGACGGATTGCCTGGATCAGCCCGATCCTAGGTCTGCTGGTCATTCTCTTCATATATCTCACCCACCGAAACATATCGTCTCCAATCGCATTCCCGCATATAAAACAAAATGCCGACACAAACTGTCCCAGCCTCCCTGGCATGGAGGATGTCTTCGTCGTCCTCAAAACAGGCGTCACCGAAGCCCGCGACAAAGTCCCCGTCCACCTCCAAACCACCCTCCGCTGCATCCCACACTACATCATCTTCTCCGACTACAACGAAACGATCAACAATGTGCAACTCCACGACGTCCTCGACAGCGTAACAGAGGACATCAAACAATCCAACCCGGACTTCAGCATCTACAACCGTGTGCGCGCCGCCGGGCGCACAGCGCTTACCACCTCCGACATGAACCCGGACACCAACACCGCGTTCGGCAAACCGAACAACCCGGGCTGGAAGCTGGACAAGTGGAAGTTCCTGCCGATGATCGAGGAGACGTTGAAGGCGCGTGACAACGCAAAATGGTACGTCTTCATGGAGGCAGACACGTATTTCTTCTGGCCGAATCTGCTGGCCTGGTTGGCGCAGTTGGAGCACCAGAGGCCGTATTATCTAGGGAATCAGATGCAGATCGCCGATGTGGTTTTTGCGCATGGCGGGTCCGGGTTTGTGCTTTCCAACCCGGCGATGCGCGCAGCGGTTTCGCTGCGGAGGTATGATTTGGATGCGTGGGATCGCGTGACAAGGGATCATTGGGCCGGCGATTGTGTGTTGGGCAAGTTGATGGCAGATGCTGGCGTGGGCATGCTGTGGGCCTGGCCGGTGTTGGTCTCAGGCCAGCCGAGCGAACTGGACTTTTTCTCCGAGGGGTATCGCAAGAAGCCATGGTGCTATGCACCGGTGGCTTATCATCATTTGGGGCCAGAGCAGATTCGTGACCTCTGGGAGTTTGAGCGGAGATGGTTTCGCGAGGGGAATCGCAAGCCGGTCTTGTATCGGGATGTGTTTCGACATATGGTCCGGCCGAAGTTAGGAGGCACGGTTGCCGGTTGGGATAATCGAATCGGCGAAACGCCGGGAGAGACGAGTCTTAGCTTGGTGGAGTGCCGGGTGCTCTGCTATCGCGATGATAAATGTGTACAGTATAGTTATACGGATGGGAAGTGTTGGACGTCCCATGTCCCTGTGTGGGGCGCGCGGAAGGACGAGGTCGCCTCCGGCTGGATCACGGAGAGAGTCGATGCCCTGGTAGAAGATATGGGCTCCTGTCCTCAACCAAAGTGGATTGTAAGCTAGATGCTATACCGGCGCTTGTAGGTTGTGTGTATAATTCATGGATTATGAGTATATCGTCCAAAATTAAGCGCGAGCACACCGCTTAGCCGCATATAGACTCGAATAGGGTCTTCTCCTCGAATCACCCTCCATCGATTGCTCGATGCAATTAACTCCCTGCACCCCTCCATAGCCCACGCCCATTTCCGGACGAACCCCAACGTCGCATCCCAACTCTCTACTCTGTACGGCTCTCCCCACAGGATAAGCTCCTGTCTCGAGGCAGTTATATTGTCATCGTCCCCTCTCTCGTGGCCAGTTTACTGGCAATAGGAGATTTGCTAGACCATAAGGAACCAAATATGTGGTCAACGATTTTTTCGCCAAGCAAGTCTCTCAAAAGTTCCGCATGATCATAGCAAGTCTCCTTGGCAATCCGATTATCTCGCATCTTCGGTATTGGCAAGAAGTCCATCAATATCGCGTGTAAAATATCCATCTGCAGCGATGTCGGAGCCAGACTCTCAGGGAGGCTGGGCCTTGTCGCGAAAAACATGGAGGTACCGAGGAACAAAACTTGGCCGTGGCGGATCTCATTTTTCTCAATACCTGGGATGATGAATGCCGTGGACACTACCAGCATATACCTGGCGTGGTGGTGGCCAAGGCACATTAAATTGATTAAGATGTAACAAGGGACAGAAGGTAGGGGAACTCCCGCTTCACACAACCGATGCGAAGCCGTCTGTCCATTGTTGGGTTGTCGGATGATGAGTAATATGGATTTAGAGGTTGGATCGTGCACTGGTATGATGGTAATCGGTCATTAGTTTGAGTGGTAGTAATTGTATGCAATGCAGTATCTCCTGTACTTCCTGATATCCCAGATACTCAGGATGATGTACGTACCATCTGAAAGTAAGGAAGCCGAAGCAAACCGTCTCCCTATCGGTCATCTAACGCGTAAAGCGACTAAACGGAAGATGAAGGAAGGCCGCAGTTTTGTTAAGACCAGATATTTCTTGAGATTGAGAGATCCTCTAAGTCAGCCACAGGAATTGAAGGTCAACGCAGGGTTGATTGGGAATAATATGTTAAATTAGATTGAATCACTCACCGTTGTTTGGTCGAAGTAGGAGGGCGATCACTGCTGAGTTGATTAGAATGGTATATTTCATCGTGACTCTCGATATATTTTGCTTAACCGTCTGTGTTATTATAATACATTGCAAGGAAAGCTTTCATCTTGAGTCGTGTGATGTAGCTGTGACCATGACTAATGAACAAGTAGAGTCACGGGGTAATAGTGTAGGTCCTGAGGCACCTGTCAGTGATGCACAGATGATATAGCGAACCTCATCTACGTAATACCTTGGGTGATTCTGCTATCATAATGACACCCCGATGCTGGAAGGGTCTAGTTTATGACTACTACCCCTCTTCTTCAGCCCATATTGTTGTCCCCCTAGAAAATCCACACTTTGCTCCAAGAGACACAGACACAAAAATCACAAACAACTTTTACGAGACAGGTATATCCTATGTTATGACCACTTACATCAAGTATAGTATAACAAAGCTAACTCTTAATACAGACATCACCAGCAACTCCTAGCCATGGTGAAGTTCAGCAAGCAGACCCTGTCGGATGGCACGCGTGTCATCGTGCGCAACCGTGTGTATCCTGACCGAGGTGCCGTCTTCAAGCTCTACTCATTTATTGATGATTGGGGGCAACACGGTTACTATGGGAAGCTCAGCTACTCCAGGTGGAAACGCGCCCTCAAGAGCCAATGCGGCTTCTCCCCTAGGCGCCATCGTATCAGATGTAAACTCTCGTTGAACAAAGGCTCACAGGAGCTTATCTATGTTTCCTGTGAGAAGCAGTTTGTTGCTGCTATTGATACCCTGGCGAAGAACGGGGCTGATCTAGAATTCGAAATTGTTCATAAATTTGGTGAGATTCCTCTGTTATTACATGAAACAGGTTGAAGATATGAGCTTACTTTTGTTAGAATGGCTGCATGAGAAGGTAGATCTCTTCTCGAATGCAGGCCGAAGGTCCTCGCGTGGATCTGTCTATTCTGATGCTCGTGAGAAATGCGATCTTGATTGATCATTGGACAGTGGTCCACTTCCTTGGTGTTAAGACAGACGGTGTTGGGATTTGCTTCGGGGTTTCTAAGTTTATGTTGTATACCGGTCTGCGTTGTGGAGTTTCTATCTTTGTGAGGTTGAGAAACTATGCTTTAATCGAATGTTGTTCTATCGCTTGAAATTGTATGAATTGCTTCTCTTCGGAAATGCACGACGGCGACATTCTAAATAGTTACATCGCGTATTACATACGCTGACCAACTGATTAGATATTCTAATAACTAGAAAGGCCTTTCATCCATAATCAGTATTGAGTATTATTAGTGGAGACATGCCCAAGGCGGAGTAGTGAAAGCAAGTCACTGATTTGGTCTGAACCTATGGACGTAAAAAGCCACAAGACATTGCCACAATACAGAAGCAGTAGCTCACCAGGAGACTACCAGCATTGCTATCTCGCAAGGGTAGGCAGGCAGGGTCAACACATCAAAGCAACAACGCAAGCTAAGTCAAGACGATTGATTCCAAGTGCACAGTCACAACGGCCCTCAACACGGGCTCCACCAGGATACGCGTTTGGTAATCTTCAATCGGAGACGTACTGGTCATCAACCCAAGCCAAGAACTCCTCACGGCCGGTCGTATCATTCAGAGTTCCATCATGGTTAGTCTCAAGTTGGCCTAGAAATGTTAGCGGCCTATTCCATAGTTCCTGGGCTGGATCCAGGTACATACCATTCTGGGGCACAATTTCGAACTCAAGGCCGCGTTCGAGGTTCATTCCGATGGCATAGTGCCAGTGAGCTTCGCAAAAGATATTTCCGGTGACCTCAAAGCCATCACAGTACACAGTGTATCTGGCGAAGTGGATTTCTGGATCGAAATCGCAAGTTTCAATCAAAGCGGTGACCCACTTGACATAGTCCAGGTCCCTGACATACATGGTTAGACCATCCCAGACCCGAGCAAAGTCCCAGGCCATAAAGATCCCGCTTTTGCTGGGATTCATCCGATTGTGGACCTTGAAGGACGTGTCCCAGGCTATCTGACGGGGCATGTTTGTTGCAAGCTAGACATACAGGTTAGTCTGTTTTGCTACTGACATAAGGTGATGTAATCTTTGTTCGCCCGATTCAAATATGAAACCGGATGAGGGTATCTCACCTGCTAGTATCAAGATGATAGATGGATGAGAATAGATTGTTAGATTGATGCAGGTGGTTGGGAGATGGTGGCTTGAGACAGTGTGGGAGAAGGAAGAGCAGGGGCTGAAGATAAAGGAAAGAAACGCAGAGTTCCGGGCTACTAGTAGTTTCACTTGATTCACTCTGTCAGGCTCCAGCAGCGTCTATCAAGGCTACCCAATCGAGCAAGCCAATCAGGTCTGCAATCATATCATCACCTACTCGCATCTCTGTTACGCTCTCATGCACCACAAGATATAGATTTCTTTTGTATCTTCTCCTCAGCTCTACAGAGCATTCAGCAGATTATCCACGCCTTCCAATCTTTTGCTTCTCATACTTGACCTACTACGGCCTCACACCTTCAAACAGCGCAAAATGAAAATACACGAGGATATTCCCATCGAAGTCATCAATCGCGTCGATCCCGAGCGGAGCGCCTTTCTGAGAGCTTGGTGCATATGGCAGGATTGAAACAGCAAAGACACTCTTCCTATCTGGGATCTTGACTATCGATACTGGAAAAAGATACTTCTCAAGCAGTGTGACTTTAACAGCCTGAACCACGAGCTGAAGTTCTCGTTCAAACGGTACGGAGACACAGTCACTGGGTACGTGTTCTGTAGAATGCAGTGGTTTTGCGCCATACAGGCGATGCTGGAGGCGGAAGAACCCCAGCTTCAATTTGAAATTGTTTGGAAGAGCGGTAGTTCCCACTGTATATGATCATATATTACCTGGTTACACAATGATGGCTGACTTCTACAGGAGACTATGAAGGGAAACCCGAGCCAACCTTGAAAGATGAGTCAATTTTTAAAATTTGAAAACTGTCCATTACACCTGGTTGTTTGGAAGTGGGGTATGGTCACAAAAGGATGTGGACCGCTGAGCTTCGGGAGGTTTAACATGTCTGATGGAAATAGTACCAGGAATCACATAATGAAGTATATGGTGTTCACTCACGTGCTTTCTGTAACCCTACCGCCATATCAATATCATCTTTAAGATCACAGCATGCCTAAATAACAATGCCATGCCTATTTTCTCAACGTTGTAATGTTCTGCCCACTGTTTTACGACGGAATTAGATGGAAGCATGATGTTATTCACTGGTAGGATCTCCTTTGTCGGTTAGACAACAATTTGAGCACATTTACCTTACAGATCTCTACACCCACCTTCCTTTCTCCATCACACCTCATCGTTCATTATCCAAGACTCTCATATCTCAAATCCTGCAAAGATTTCAACATCTACAATGTTGGACTACCTGACCACACAGGCCCTGATCATCCGTATATGGGCCACTCTCCAGCGTGTAATAGGAGCTAGCGACGCTAGGGTCCCCCGCCTCGCAGCGGTTGAGTTGGATAACCTCTACACAGACTACGCGACCAGAAGCCAACCTGTGGAATCTTACGAATTTATTACACACATCTGGGAAGCTTTTCTACGTCTTGCAGGACAGGTAGATCATAATGGAGATGGACATTCGCAGCTAGCTAGGGTTATCCTGTGGCTAAGAAAGCTCCCTCTGAGGCAGCTCCCAGAGGTCCTCATGCTAGATGACAGTGATGGATATCACGAACCTCGTCGGATGATCTTCCTGTGGGACGGCCTGAATCGGATCGATCGTTTCCTGCCACCATTCCGCGAAAGTTAGTTCTACCCTGCAACTGTCTATTGTACTGTACACGTGGACGATCCGACAGCATGGCTAACTTCACCAGGTCTCTTGAGAAATGAAGCAGAATTTCAACAGTACCTCAACACACATGCCTTCGCTGCACTACTCACCGAGATCTATCTCATAAGTGTTCCGCGGCAAGCTATGTCGGCCATAGAGGAGGTCACCGAGGGAACGGTAACACAAATCAACGGCGAGGAAGTTGTAACTAGGAATATATGCGCCGTTGAGCATCTTGACAAGAAAGCTGCAGTTGCGGGTGTCTGGCTTGTGCACGCCGCTTATAGACTGTGGCACTACGGTACACCAAACAACATTTCACAGGGTGGCCCATGGTGGCAGAGTATGCAGAGTAGACTGTCTGACGACAACTGGAGTCCCACTGCCATGCATCTTGAGCGTTTGTGGTTCTGGAGGAACCAATTCGATGAGATTCTTGACCACGGTGATGTGTCCGCCATGACTTTTGCCATCGTCGCAAAAGCAGTGGACAAGATGGACGGACTCTTTGGACGTGATTCTAGAGAGGATTGATTCCTTTGGGAGAGCCCCTGTCTGCGGCTGCAGACCAAATCTAGTTCTCGATAGCAAATAACCTTAGGATCCATAGTTTATTGTGGAGGAATCATAGTGGAATTTCAGATCAAATACAGAATCATTAACACTGGTCGTAAAAGCCATACAAGCACATAAATATCTATTCTGATCTCGTCAGCACGGTCGAGAGTAATCGTACCATATAGACACATACCATTATCCCATGCGGTTACAGCAGATCACCAGCCTCCTCCATGATGTCCACCGCCATGATGCCCACCAAAGCCTCCTCCGCCATGATGTCCGCCGTGATGTCCTCCATGATGCCCACCTCCAAACCCAGGCCCTCCCATACCTCCATGATGGCCATGATGGTGATGGCCACCCATTCCCATGCCGAGTCCACCACCACCATGATGATGATGTCCTCCGTGATGATGATGTCTTCCACTAAATCCTCCCGGTCCCGAGTTAAACCCTCCCCCCATGCCAGCACCAGGACCGAACTCGTGTTTTCGCGGCGGTGGATATCCGCCTCCGCCCATTCCCATACCGGGGTTCATATGATGACGGCGATTACCGCCACCGAGCAGGGAGAAGCAGGAGCCCATGTTGCTTTTTGGTTGTACTTTCTTCGGTTCGTTTGTTAGGAGGTAATAATGTTGGGCAGTGATTCATAAAAGTTTCGTGAAGCAATATTAATTGTAGGTCAAAGTATATCAGTCTATCCAATTTGGAGTATAAGGCTGAAGCCAGTGGAGATCCATATAAATATATCCCACGGTACCTTTTTTCTTCCCTTCTTAACAAAAGTCTTATGTGTACGTACGTCATGACGTCATGTACCCATCCACCAATGAAGCGTACGTACAACCCTCACTCCCAAGAAAAATATCCAAGTAATAAAGGAAAAAGTCTGATGAATGACATAACTATTTGCAAAATGCCCCTGAACCACTGGAACAGGATGACTACTAGTAATGATACTTGAACTCCACTTCTGCGTCACCGGTCCTGACCCTCCGCGTATCCTCTTTGCCGTCGATAATCCTCTCCTTCTCGGCGTTCTCCCTCCTCAGGTACATCGCATGCACGAACACCAGGATCTGCGCTACGCATATAGATCCCAAGGAGAAGGAGTTACCCAGTACATAGGGTGACTTGCGATAGATCTGCCCTGCGACAATGCCCGCGCAGTTTCCGATGGTCTGTTGGACGCCGACCGCCAGGGCTCGACGGTATTGCGGTGCGAAATTGACGTTCAGCCAGGCGACGTTTAGTCCGACGCATGTGTAACAGGCGATCGCGCAGAGGTAGGTGGCGAAATATTTCACGGGGTTGTTGGACACGGCGAGGAGGAGGATGTAGCCTATTATTCCGAAGATGTTGGCGATTAGGATGTACTATCCTCGCACGTTAGCACATTGTTCGCTATGCTAGTCCCGATCTTGATTATCGGAAAAGGGAAGGACGAGGGACAGGACTTACGGAGGCAAAGCGCGAAAATCGATCCGCACAATATGCTACTGCAATAAACACAAGTGCAGCCCATATATAGACCGGCACGGTCAACACATTGCTCATCAGTGAGTTGTATCCGATATCCTGCAAAATTGTCGGCAAGAAGGTGCTAAATCCGTAGAGCAGGATGTCCTGACAGAACTGCGTGGCGGCGCTGAACGCCAGTTTAGGATCGCGCAGTGCGGTCCACATTTCCTCCCAGTTGAACTTGTCGCTGCCCATGTATTTGCGGCGTTGTTCGTTCCGCACGCGCATCATCCATTTCTCTTCTGCAGTCAGGAAGTATGATTCTGCGGGATCGTTGGGGAGGCCGAACCAGATGAGGACGGCGCAGACCATGCTGAAGAGGCCTTCGATGATGTAGACCCATCTGGTTGATTCTTGGTTAACGATGCAAGGTAATAAGGAGGGGGGGACCCAAATACCTCCATCCGGCCTTTCCTCCTAGCCCGTCCATATGCAGCAGTGCGTATGCCAGTAAACCTCCCACAGCGCCAGAGATAGCTGCGGAGCTGAAAAGGTAGGAGACGCGTTTGGCCTGCTCTTCCCGCCGGTAGACCATCGCCAGGTACAGATTCAGACATGGGAAAAGTCCCGCTTCGCAAGCACCCAGAATCAATCTTGTGGCGTAGAGTGCAGCGACGTTCTGCACGAACCCCGTAAAGATTGTCGCTAGAGACCAGACGATGCACAGTCCAGTTAGGATATTGCGGGGCGTAAGCTTTTTCATCAACACCGCCCATGGTGATTCTAGCAGGACATAAGTCACGTAGAAGATGGACACGGCGATCGAAAACTGCGTCTCGGAGGCCCCGATATCCTCGGGCATCCCCGCGACTTTGACATTACCTGTTGAGGTCAGCTCCGCCATCTTAGACTGGCCGTAAAATATTCGGCATACCGATATTTGTGCGATCCAAGAAACATGACAAATATGTCACCATAATAATGGGAATAAAGGCTAAGTCCAGTTTCATCAGGAGTTTCTTCTCCTTTTTCGGATCGAGCACGACATCGTCCACATCGCCGACCCCCGGCTCCTCTATGGAGGTTTTGCGATCATTTTTGTTCTCGACCGGGATATCCTTTTCGTCTGTCGACATGGGAGGCGTCCAAATAGGCTGGTCGTCTAAGTGACAAAGTGCTCTTTCGTTCTCGAATTTCTGCGACAGATGCAACTGCACTTCCACCCCAAAATCTCCCAAACCCAGGTGACAGGGGAAGGGAAAATATGGGGTTAAAAGAGTCTCGTGGATCTTGCTGATCCCTCCGTCACGATTACCTATCAAGATAGCGCATGCATATCTTTCCCCTCCTAGTGCATAGCCTTTGGCTGGGTGACACTCCCGTTATCTGAATAAGGTAGCACTTGAGTAACAGAAATTCGGCCAACGTCCGCGTCTCCGCTCGTTGAAGAGGCCTGTTCGGGCCGAAGGGTCAAGATAAGTGGTGGAGAGGAGTTTATCAGTTGGTGATCCCTACTAATATCATTAGCTCATTGGGTGGTCCGACTGATAAAACCCCAGATATCGGTGAGTGGGCCCCGAGGGTGGATATGGGGAAAACGAGTGGGTTGAACTCCGTGTATAAACGCTGGGGTCGTTTGATGGTCGTCGACACCCCGTCATGGCGGAAAATAAGTCATCGTCATTCCGCGGGGAAGGTCATATAATTCAAATGTAGAACACAAGTACTCAACACAACAGACGACCATAATGCGATTATTCTTGTAGAGATGGACCCCACGCATTGTCAGACAGCCCACCAAATCCGCCTCCTCGGACGCCAAAACCACATAACCAACACCTCGGGCTTAGCCCCAGGATATCTCCAAGCCAATCTTCTCATTCTTCCCTCGAAGCACGCCGAGGATTTCCACAACCTATGTCTCCGCAACCCGGTCTCCTGCCCCTTACTGGGGCTCACCCCTAAGGGCAACCCCAACACTGTTTACCCGTCATCCTGCATCAAATACGACGACTTCGACCTCCGAACGGACTGTCCCAAATACCGTGTTTATAAAGATGGCAAGTATATTGAGAGTCGTACCGATCTCCTCAACCTCTGGACAGACGACTATGTCGGTTTTCTAATCGGATGCTCTTTTTCCTTTGAAGATGCCCTGGCTGACGTGGGCCTGAAACCGAGACACCAAGCCACGGGAACCATTGTTGCCATGTATAAAACACGGATTCCATTGTTAACATCGGGAATCTTCAAGGACGGGACTTGCATTGTCTCGATGAGACCCTATCGGGTGGAAGATGTAGAGAGGGTTCGGGAGATCACCAGACCCTTCCTGGCCACACATGGGGAGCCGGTCGACTGGGGATGGGATGCCCTTGAGCGGTTGGGGATTAGCGATATCGAGAAGCCGGATTTTGGAGAGAGACAGGCTTTTGAGGAGGGGGAAGTTCCAGTCTTTTGGGTGCGTTTCCCCTTTCTTCCCCTTCCATTCTCCTTTAGCTATGAAATGACTTTGTTGATTGTTCACCAGGCGTGTGGCGTCACACCGCAAATGGCCGTGGAGTCGGCAGGAAGCCGGATCGAAGGGCTGGTATTCGCGCATGAGCCAGCCCATATGTTAGTTACGGACTTTACCGTCAAAGATTTGGAAATATTGGGAAAGCCCCTTTATAACTAATTCGATGATGTTTTATTCTCTTCTCCCTTGAGCTCTCTGTATAACAGGACTTCGGTATTCAGACCAACGTGTGCACGTGGAACTCTTGGAGTAAATCTAGCAGCAGTGGACAAATCCAGATATCACAGGATGTTCACAGAACGGATAGATGAATTATTGATTAATGCAGGCACCTTCAGACGCAATGTGCTATAATACCGGCCTGGTGCCAAAGCAGTGACGGGATTCTCCAGTTGGGCATGGAGTATATGCATTATATAGGCTTGTTCGAGACACATATAAGGTATTCTCGTCTCCTCCATGGGAGATCCTTCTCTCCTTATGCAGAGATCAAGGTCTAGTCAACGCATACTGGATTTCAATCCGTCCGTCTTAACCCTTCCAGTACATTCTATCGTCTTTATCAACCTGTTATATTCGACTACTTCTAGTCGATCCCTAGCCATCAGCCTTTCTAGAAGGAGTTACAGGGACCTTTTCCCCTCCCATTCCAACTGCATCATGTCCGAAGCTGGGCCACGAATTGCACGGGATGCTGTGATTGTGGTGGTCAATATGGTCGACCCAGTTCGGAGTGCCATTAGGAAGGCTCATTGGTTGTTCCCGGAATCCCATGCCAATGACGCTAGCCTCCGCGTTAAATGGCTGAAGTATCCTGAATGGGAGATTTATTTGGACGAACAATGCTCGTATTCCTCTCAGAAGCATTTTCTAAGAGCCCTTATCCGTGGAGCTTACCAATACATTCACTGCGAGAGAGAGTGGCTCTCTAGCATGGAACTTTTGGGGGAGGTTTCCGAGGTGAAGTATGAATTTGAAATAGTCTCCTGCAGAGGTAAGAACACCTATATCAGATAAATCAAAGTATTGCTTACCATGAATTGAGCTGATTGCATTCGTAGATGTGTACGAAAACCTTGGATATGAACCCATTGAGCCTGATGAACGGGATATGAGCAATCCTCGTACACCTATTGTCGGTCTGAGCGATGACTACTAGTAGATACAAGGGGTGAGCGGTATGCAGTCCCACGTTTACCGCCTAATCAATTTGGATTCGAGCTGGATATTTCGCGGGGATGTTGCAGGCGAAGGTGACATGTTGGAATTATAGATACCTGGGTCATGTCATTTGTTAGTACCTCAATGCATATTTGCTATTATCTGGATTCAGCTGTAGATTGTATTTCAGTCGCTCGGCATATCTCTTATCCTCCTACATGACATAACTTGTGTCAATCGACGGTATCACCCACTAGGCTTACACGCCTACTATGAAAGAACCAGTAAAACAAGCCAAATAGATCAACACACATTTAACAAGTACCTCAAGATACATGGACAACTGCAGCACTACTCTAAATCCAATTCCACTACATTAATGTATAATCTATAACAAATATATACAGCACCAAACACCTACAAACCACCTCTACATTCACCAACCAGCAAGTCACCAGACACCCGTCTGTAAAAGCATGTACATCTCCGCAAAAGCTCATCTATATAAGTCGAGTCCATAATATAAGCCCATCTCCTACCGAATCAATTCCATTAAATCACACAATTTCACACTTCACAAAGTAAACCGTATCCGAAACCTCCTTCTCAACCAACAATGAATTTCATCATCCGTCTCGTGACACACGCCATGAGAAGGCCGCACAGAGTACGCTTCATTATCGCAATAGTCAGGACTTGTTACATACTTTCGAACAGGCACGATGATTAACCCACGATCACTAGGAGAGCAGTGTTTCTATGGATTTTAGTGCTCACCGTTCGTTCTATGCTACCGATATTCCCACTCCGTGAGAGCTCTGTGTCGAAGATAAGACAACTAAGCTCCTGTTTCCGCTAGACGGGTTCCCATAGTCGGCTGGTCTCTAGTGATGCGAAACCAGCTATACAGACAAACTCATCCGGTAAGTCCAGTACTTCGCTACCTGTTCTTGTCGCTATACAGTTGAATGACCTTCTGGCATATTTATAACTTCGACACCTCAAAGCCTTTGTAGCAAATAATGAGCTTGTTACATATCAAACCACAACAAAAGTCAACTGTACATCTGGATACACTTGTTCATTAATTAATTATGTGGAACCAGACCTACTGAATTATTTTACATTGACTATTTTAGCACCAGGTAGTATTATATAGAGGTAAATAAACTCATGGCATTTTCCACAGTGCCGTCAGAAGCAGTCCTTCATTAAACTTGACAGCTCACCTCCAAAGTCAAACGTGTAGCCATTCCCCATGCGAGCTCCATACTGCCACGGTTCCTCGTAGGTCTGCACCCCCGTTCCCACTGACATGATCTGGTCTTCAATATTACCCACTGCTTCGAACCATTCCATCAGCTCCCGTGTCATCTGAGCTCCGTCGGGTGTTGTATGACTCTGCGTGCTAGGCGCCGGCATTTGCTCCATTGAGTCCACCGCTACAGTACCAGCGGCTGGCTCAAGTGCGGTACGAGCCGTCTCATCGGGCTGTTGGTGGGTCTGCAGCCCAAGTTGAGGCCCCAGTTTTCGAAGGCCCTTGATTGACCTCCACAGTCGCCGGGATACATATGATCGCGGCGAGAAGCCTTTCACTAGTTCCAGAGCCATGTAGAACTCCTCTCTAGAGTGAGCACTGAATTGGGCAGGTGTGTGCGATACGGCGAGGAACAGAACGGCAAGGGCTGACACGAGAAACCAGTTGAATGTGACCTGTTGGAGACGGTAAATATCTGACGTCTGGTTGAGCTTTGTGATAAACTGGATTGTTTCTTTGGCAAGGTCAACGATTATTTGCGATTCTGCTGGATAACGCATCATATGAGCCGCTGAATACAGTACCGGTCGATAGATGAGCATCCTCAGCTGGTTGGCTCGCAGGTAAAGTAAAGACCGCAGTCGACGGATACTCCGTGGCTCTTGTTGCACCTGATCCAATGGCTGGTCAAGACGCAGGGACTCAGGAATTGCAGCAGTCCATCGTACGACCTGCCAGTCTAGATAGTTCATCTCGTCCTTCTTGATCTCGTTGGTGTTGTTGAAAGCTGATATGAACTTCCAGACCTTTGCCGCAATGCGGCTATACCGAATCATCACCCGCAAGTAGGGGGTCTTTTCCTCGGGCTCTGGAAGCCACGGGTCAATGTCCGTGTCTTCCAAGGCAAAGGGCATGCCCGTCCCGAAGCTCCAGCGCATGTCCAGAACATATATGGACCAGAACAATCGTAGAATACGCTCCTTTCCTTCGGCCAGAATAGCCGGCTGTTCCAATGTTTCCCGTCGGTGAAGACCTTTCTCCAGACACATACGTTCCACGATACCGATCGTCCTCCAGGCAAGTGCTTCTTCGTCCATTTGAAAGTAGAAAATCGACTGGGTGACTACGTTAGATCATGCGAAGAGCAAAAGCACGGCAGAACTTACCACCAGCGTCAGGAATATAATACCTCTGATGTCCGGAGGCCCCCAGACACAGTTATCTGCCACCTCCTGTACATCTTCAAACAGCCGCATAGCCAAATCGCTGTTTCCGCTTGCCTCGGCCGTTATTGCGCACGCAAGAACCAACCTGAGAATATGTACGTCATAACCATCCAGCTTCGTATCTCCATTATGTGGTACAGACGCCTCCGACCAGGCCTCTGTTCCCACCTGGCCATATAGAATCTCAACCTGGTTGAGTAACTGCTGCAGGTCCAGCACAGGGTACATAATCCCCATCTCCTCCTCATACACCCTGCACAATCTAAGGGCTTCATCCTTTCCAATAGTCCATAGTGGATCACCCCGTCGTGTATGTAATACCTGGGTCGGTGAGGGCGGCGACGGCATAGGCGACGGCTCCTGAGTCAAATCCCCGTCCTCACCAGCATCATTGCGCTCGACGATCCCGCGTCGCTGAAGACTCGATTTCGCAATATCAAAACTAAACGCGGAGGTTGTGGGACCTTGAAAAGTCAACCCCTTCGCCGATGAGACACGCCGAAAATGCCTCTGCGAGGAGACAGATGAACAAGTCTGGTCCGGTCGCGCGAATGACGTCGGGGCAGCAGCACCTTGAGTAAGTGTATGAACGGCGGCCGTCAAAGCAGTGATTTGCTCCTGCATGACTTTCATCTGCTCGCACAATTGATCGAATCCGCTGTGTTCCGTCAGTTTAATTTCTCTCCGCCCCACAGACCTGCGCTTACTGTTCATTCGCGGTGATTTCTTGTCGCTGTCCTTCCTGGTACACACATCCAATCCGCTGTCTTCCGCATCTTTGGCATGGCGTCTCTCCATTACACTTGATTTTCCGACGCTTGCACTCGTTACTGTAGTTCGCGGTTTCAGTAAGACCTTGAGCGACAGTCAATACTGGGAAGGATGAACGTGACCCACCATGCCTTTGCGATGTATTTCCGTCTTTTCCGCGGGCGGGGATGGTGCGATTCTGTGTCGTTCTCTATCATGCGAGTATCCCCGTTGTCTGCGATTTGGTCTGTGTCATGATCCACCGGGGCAGACATCTTGACCAGGTTCCGGTATGAGCGGAGAGAAAGAAAAAGCCGATGGATGTTTTGCTGTTGGGTCAAGTCGCTAATGCGGGGGTTCGGCAGCCGAGGTTGCACTATAGCCCGAGCGGGTTTAGGCGGCGACGATCCACTCGGCAGTTATCCACTCCCTGGAATGGTTCCGTTCCCGCTAAGCTCTTACTAGTAGCTTGGTTCGTCGACTACGTCAGGTATTCTCTTGGTTGGACATGTCCTCCATTCATTGCAGTGTAATCTTCACATTCATAATACTATGTACATTTTCATTCTAAGCGTTCAAGTATCATAACCGACGCAATTCTAAAGCTAGACTGTGAAAAACATGGAAAATAGAAGACTACAGGTCCTTCGTCCGCTCATCGCTCTCCGCGATCCATTGTTGAAGCTTCGGTGCATCCCGCGGCTTGAAACCGACCTTGAATGGTTTCGGCTCCGTGGTCAAAGCTGTAGGGATCGCATTGCAATCGATCGCATCCAGGATAGGGCGATCTCCCGGGTTCTGCGCGGGATGCATCGTGAAGGCAGTGATCAGTCGGATGTACGCCGTGTATAGTTCGCGATTGGCAAGATGAGATCCCGCACACATCCGTGAGCCAGCTCCATATCCGTAGTGAGGAGTACCGGAGCCTTCAGAGACTTCGAGATATCGCTCAGGGATGAACTTCTCGGGCATCTTGAAATGGTCCTCGTCGTAGTCGGCAGCCCAGGCGTTCTGTAAATCAATGAGTATGCTTACTGGAGCGCAGACCAGAAAGAAGGGAGTATCTTACCATGAAGAATGTAGTTCCAGCCGGAATTTTGGCTCCGTTGAACTCAATTTCCTTGATGTTTACCCGTGGCAGACAAATCGGAATGACAGTCCAGAATCGCAGAGTTTCCTTGACCAAGGCCGACACGTATGGAACCTTCTCCTCAACCAAACACTTTTCCCACGCATCGCCACCTGGGTAGACCTTCATGATCTCGTCATAGGCCTTCTGCTGAATACGCTGACCGTCCTCGGAAGCCAGGAAGGCGATGCCCATAATCAAGTTACCGGGAACAGTATCCAAACCAGCCGAAACCATGGTCAAGCAAATAGACTTCACCTCAGCTGTTAATCCATCCTGTCAGTGAAGAGCTCTAACTTGTACGCTGGAAGCTTTCTTACCCTCGTTAAGCTTTGCTTCCGGGTCCTTCAGAATATTTCCAGTAATGCACGGCTTGTCTGTTCCCTTGGCAATTCTGTCCTTTAGAATACCCAGCAAATACGTTAAGTACTTGTCCCGACGGACACGGAATTCCTCAGCCTCGCGATTCATTTTAGGCATAATCCGCAGCAAGGGGATGTAATCCTGCCAGTTATTGCTCGTACTGCGGAAGTTTGACACGCCACGCTCGACATCGACGATTTCCTTGAGCAGCTCATCATCGACATTACCCGAGATCCGGAATCCGTAGTTCAGCGTAAGACTGGTATTAAGCGCGAATCGCTGGAAATAAGCAGTGGGATTCACATCCACCGTTCCGTTCTGGCTATCCTTGAACAGTTCCTTAATACTAGCGGTGGCTTCCAGATCAATGATCGGCATATACGACTGCACTGCGGGACGATTAAGCGCTGTTGCAGCCGCCTTGCGCCGTCTCTTGCAGGATTCATCCCAAGGAGATGTACCAATTGTAAATCCCTGCGAGCTGGAAACGACGCTATGGAAGGTGTGGAATGTTGGACGAGAGATGAGCGCGGATTGGTCCTTGATCCAGAGCTGGCGCACGGAGTCGAAACTGTTGGCGAAAACCACGCGCTAAACAGCGGTCAAATTAGCTTCACGCCCCCTCACATCAGCCACCGAAACAATGTCAAAGCTGACCTTGTTGCCCATGCGCACTTGGAAAACTGGGCCAAACTTCTTTGCCCATTTCCCCGCAACCGTCGCGTGCTGGTCCCCTAGTTGTAAAAGATTCCCGAAGAGAGGAACTCCGGGAATCTCTGGGAGGCCTTTAATCTTCGGAATATCCGTGCGGTTCAAGTAGCGAATGATGAAGTACGCCACCGCGACAGCGGCGAGCGCGATCGTTTGTAACGACATCTCTGAAAATGTTTAGAAGAGGAGAAAGAAAACGGTTGTTATCGTAGGAGAAATCTCATTTCAGCTCAGGTGGCATACGGCGCGCCGGGTTTTATACCAAACATCTCGGTTTAAGCATCAAGCCTCCGCAGGGGTTATTACGTCGGTTGCACGGGACTTTTCCGACCATGGTTCACTATAGGTCCACGTCACGGTATTTAGACGGATTGCCGTTCTCTTGCTAGGGTCTGAGACTTGTCACCCAACCCTGCGAGGGGCGGTCATCATTGCAACTTCGTGAATCAGACGCACCTCATTGGTTGTACCGCCTCGACCAAGGAAGAAAGTCCATACCTCAGGCTTCGTCTCGGGTGCGGCATTTCATTCCGCGTCCACGGTTAAACGCGGACGCGGAACATCGCGGCTTCAATTTCCGCTCATCGCATTAGTACAATTAAACCCCGGAGTGTAGAGTTATGAACAATTTTGAACTGAGATGACAGGCTTCCTGAATCTCGGGGAAAGCTACAAAATTACGGATTCGAAGCTTTGCCAAGGCGGCCCCGGATTTCCCCAATTCAGTGAATAGGATTTTCCGCTATATTTCCGCACATTATCTTATTTACTTACATTCATTTTGCGAAATTGCCGGCTAAACACAAATTGTACCAATTATTCGTTTGATAGACTTGGATTAGAGCGTAGGCTCACACCACTGAGCAAACCCCAATATATATCTGTCATAGAGAAGTCAGAATGATCTGCTAGTTCAAGTGTGAAACATTTTCTGTCGATCAATTAATGCAAGTCATTCAGGAACAACCTATAGAATGGCTATTATGATCATCTCTTTACACACGGAAGATCACGAAGCCCTAATCCTGCGCAGTTGATCCCGTGCACCAACGGCTATTAGAAAAGTAGTCTGAATCGAATAAATCAAGCACTGTAAATTGACAAATGGGCCAGACTCGGGCCTAAAATGTGATTGAGAGTTGACTACTGGCTATACACTAATTCTAACTATTTTTTGACATTGTGACTAAACTATATATATATACTTCGTGTCATTTGTTGGCTAATTCAACTTGTTGTACCGTCATCTGCAAATGTATATCATATTCCCATGACGACAGAATCCAACTATTAGCTGGCGAACTCTCGAGCACCTACCATCCTAAGAAGATGCAGAGAGCAATAGTCTGATGATTGCTTGCAAGTTGCAACCATCAGCGAAAAGTACCGGCATTAATATCACAGCCTAACTGAATGAGTTCTACGATTGTTCTTTTCCTGTGAAGGCCACTTACGAAACGTCTCCATTGCTTGCCATATAATAGGGTGAGCTATATATAATTTGGGGGCCCGCAATTTCAGTTATTGGGCAGAAATATCCTCTTCGCAATTGGTTCGATTCCCTTTTAATAATAACAAGGAAATTGCTACGGGGCTCTATGCAGGGGTTGGTGATGCATTGTACTATACATGAACTGATGGAACTAATCCTTTAAGGCTAGAATGCGTCTTGGATCTTTTAGTCCCTATAATCGTATGATATTTGAGGATGTTTTGAAGTACAAATTGTGTCCCTAGCTCTGGTTAACAAGGGTAATCAAAAATTGGCGATTCTCCACAGTATGGGTTACATCCGCAGCGTATGGCAGATACTTTCTCCGAGATAGTGTTCATTGTAAACGGCCTCACACATGCTCAAATTGGGATTAGGGTTGACACACAGAATTATTGCGCTACAGCCTTAAAGGACTAGTTGCTAGCCGCAGCGTAGTATCACAGAATTTGGTTCTTCTAAAAGTATCCACGCCGCTTTATTGTCTGGTTTTGGATCGTTGCAACGCTAAAATAGTGTCTAATAGCTTGGTTACAAGGTAGCTAAGCGTGTCGATGGAGTAGTCTACCAGCATCGATAGGATCTAGGCGTGCTTGGCTACAAGGATGCGACTGAATTTGACGTGGGCCAGAAAGATCGCCATCATAGTATCTCGCAATTCCCTCTTTATCATTCATTTCCCTTCAGTTATCAATCCCATATTGTCTCGTCGAATTCACTATTCAAATTCCATCTTTCCTTGCCATGTTGGCCTTCAGAGCACCTGTCTGGCGACGTATATCCCCAACCTATGGCGCTAATTATAGGAGACTGGCCAATTCATTCCGGTTCCAGGTCAGACGTGGTATCTGCCAACTGCAGAGCGTTGACAAGTTCCACAAAGTGCGGCTTCGATTCCAAGATGACGTAAAGAGGGGATTAGAGATCTTGGTTTCCATTCTGAGAGAGCCGTCCCGTGCGGAACAGCTACGCGAGCTGGAACTAGATTGTACACCATGCGACATGATTAGGAGTGACCCTTATGAGATCCGGCCAACACAAGTCTTGCTGCCAACAGAAGACCTTCAAAGGCTCCAGCTTGCAGTCAGAAACGCAGGGTTTGAAGAGCGAGGAGAGCATGAACGAGTATTAAGTATGCTTCTACAGGATGTTAGTGAAGATCAAGGGTATGCCAGCTACCCCTGATAAAGCATTGACCTTCCTAGACGCTTACAGTTCCTCAGTCCATATGGCAAGTACCTATATTTCCAGGCGCAGGCCCTCGCTGTCATGTTTGTGTCCCTGGCACCTCGATTGGAATCCCTAGCCTTCTGCTCGCTAGGGTTGCAACATCGCTTAGAGACATATGTATTCGAAAACTTCCTGCAGCGAGCCATCGCTGAGAAGCGCGATGTGCCTGGCTTGCGTAATCTCCGCTCAGTGAGATTTCTCGATAGTATAGATAGTTTTATGAATGGTGGTACACTCTATTGGGATTACGACGTTCATGACTGCCTTAATCTCATCCGGGAACTCCCCGCCATTGAATCTGTTCGCTTTGATGCTATTAAGCCGAACCTCGATGTAGGAACGTGGCCTCCACCACGCTCAGCCAACTACACTGATATCATGTTTTACCACTGTATTATACACATGTTGTACGAGGAGTTGGAGGTCGTTATCCACTCACCCAAACGATTAAGAAAGTTCGCATGGACGGTTGGTGGACGCTCCGAGCGGGGAGGTGATATAACACCAATCAGTCCAGTATTCACCCTAGAGTGCTTGCTCACCCACCGGCACACATTGGAAGAGCTGGATCTTGACATCCAGGGCCATGCGATCTTCCGTGAAATGGTCGATGAGGATCCCATGTTCCGGCAAGATGATGACAACGATTATTATGACGATGAAGATCTTGACAAGTGGAAAGCTCAAAAGAAAGAAATCGTGGGTGTAGAATCACCCGCTCCGGATTGTGCGCTCCGCAGCTTTCCCAATCTCAAACATCTTAGCCTCGGCACCCATGTTCTCTACTGCTACGCTCGTGGCTTTGGTGCCGGTCGCCTGAAGGAACCCTTTTCTCTCATTGACAACCTGCCCCCACGTCTGGAATCGCTGCGCCTCTACGGCTATGGCTTGCCTGGTGAACTCCCACACAGATGTAAAGATTCGCTGGACCTAGAAGTAGAGGCCCAGATAGCAGCTTTGTTGGAGCAGAAGGATTCAAAGTTACCGTCTTTGAAGGTTATTGAGGGAATTGATACACCTATACCTCATGGGTGCAGTGTGGAAGATTGTGACAGGGACCCGCACCTGTTATGGCGGCGTGAGGACGACGAATAGAGAACGCCTAATGATAACTAAACAGTGTCATCTGGGGTTGTTGGGTTGACTGCTCATAATCTCCTTTCCTTCGTCTAGGCTTTGGTGCAGAACCCAGCGTCCTTGTTATCTGAGGTGGTATTACCGGGCTCTATGTGTTTGAGACGGATATACTTCATAATTCGGTCAGTCATCATCTTGAATACTCTTTCTTTTTCATTGGTTTCGCTTGTTGAACTTCAAGTTTCCTTCTTCTCTCTTCTCCTTCCTTTCTTTCTTATCTTATTTTCCTATCCTTTCGAGTCTTTCTACATTATCGTTATACTAAAGCTGGACGTGAATCCGCGGCTACCAAACTTTGCCTACCTAACTCTCTACTTAGCTTATATTCAGGAACCAGCTGATGTTAGTTGGCCTATGCTTAGATCTGCTAGTAGGAAAGAATAAGCCAGGGCTGAGGACTTGTACGCCGCCCGCACTTCAAGGACATCAATTCACTGCAGCCACCGAACACTCTTTACCGTTGTTTGGAATAATAAGAGTCATTTGTTTTATGTACATGGGTGTGTTTGTATGAAGTAAGACATATTGTTTGTCCCGCCGAATTTTATAGGTGCCTAGAGACACTTGATACAGAGGTACTTTAAAACAAGGCAAAGTGAACTCAGATATAGTGTTCATCTACTGCACAAGAGGCGATAGTTTCTATACACGGTATGCTCAAATGGTATCCAAAAGATAGTATCAGGATTGGGTATCTAAACTGTTATAGTCAAGTAGTCCATCAGTCATGCAGACCGATCCCCCGGTCAAGACTCACACCAGAAGTCGGATCCAAAGATCGTTGAACAGAATGGGTTAATGACAATGTAGAAATAAAGTAATATCAATATAAATACAACTTAGAATGCAGAGATGCTCGAGAGTCAAGTGAAAGACTTTTAGGCCAAATATGGCTTCTCCTCCGCGCTGAGGCGACTAGCCCGGCGTCCTGCATGCTGTGCGCGGTCGGCCTCTAGGGTCTGAGCAAATTTGCTGCGTGCTCGGATTTCAGGGCCCTTCCAGTAGAATATGTAGATGGGAACGGTCACTAGAATGGACAGACAGGCGAGAATCGTACTCGCCCACTGCAGGTGGAACTTGCCACCGATGTTGCTGTACATGGGAGTCGCGTACATGGCGGACAGCCCTGCGAGAAGATCACGAGCAAAGCCGTTGCCTCCAGTGGCGGAAGCAGAGTACGGCCCATAGGAGGCGACCATGTAGTCGATGGTTGCCATATAAATTCCATAGTTCGCAATGGCAATCAAGAACACAAAAACAAGGGGCACGATCCAATGGGTATAGTCCGGACCCATTGATGTCCAAGCAAATCCGAACAGGCCGATCGTCTCCAGTGGTGCAATGAAGAGAAGGAGTAGCAGACGACGCTCAGCCAGCCGAGCTGTATTGCCGTGACTCTTTCTAACTTGACGCTGACGCCAAATGTCGGGGAGAAAGATACCGTACGCGACAAGATAGCCAATCACGATGGAGATGAAGCAGAGCCCAATCTGGAGAGGGTTGAATCCCCATTGTTTGAACACGAGGTTGAAAGACTCAATGCAGGTGAAGATCAGCGCGTCAGAGAAACCAGACAGCAGAGAAAGGAAGAGCACGATAGGTTCCCTCAGGAACATCTCAAAGGGTCGGGACCAGACACGCAAAACTTCTTTAGCATCAAACCGGGGCTTCTTCAGCTCGTTTGGTCCATAAACGTTTGGATCCTCGCCTGTCTTGCGACGGCGCTTCGCCTCCCGATCGATAAGGATAGTCGCACGGGTCTCAGAGACAAAAAAGAAGTGGACCAATTGTGTAACCCCGCCAAAGATGAGTTGAATCCAGAAGTTCCACTCCCATTTCAGCCACTGCTGGATCATTCCACCAAAGATGGGACCGATTGTGGTACCACCAACAGAAGACAATACCACATACGCAACAGCAAACCCTTGGTCATCAGGCTCCCACATGTCTGCAGTCATGCCCAAGGTGACTGAACCGCCCGCTGAGCTCAAGCCACCAAGGAAGCGGCAGACGATAATGGTGCCGAAGTTGGGAGCCAGGGCGCAGGGAATTTGCCAAATGTTGACCAGGAACAAACTGAGCTGCATAATAGGCCATCGGCCGAGTTCTTCACTCCAGGGTGCCCACAGCTCACATCCAAACGCATAGGCCACCAAGAAGATCATCTGGCCCACTCGGGCGGCTTGCTCACTGACATGAAAATGTTCCGACAGGGGTGTGACGGCATTCGGATAAACACTGCTGTTAAAGTTCATGGACATCTGCACAGTGAAGATGACTGTAAGGATACCCCATTTCTTATACCAGGGGAAGCTGAATCCCAGCTTGTCGTAGCAGTCGTCCTCTAAGAGTTCCCGCTTCCCATCCCCACCAATCTTCCCTTGCTCCTCACTACTGTTGTCCGACTGCGAGGCATGTTCCGCATGGAGCGGTGCAGGTTGGCGAGAAGGACTTATGCTTCTGTCCTGTAGGGCTAATTCATCTTTCTTATCAGGAAGCTTCTCAGTACTTGGACCAAAGTCCTTCTCTGAAAAGCCATCAGACGCCATGACTAAGAGATTGGCGTCTTCAAGGTTGAATATATGCCACAAACTACTAAGGTATGTGGGTCTGTGGGGAAATTGATACCTTATAGAGGAAGGTTCGTGAACATAATAAAAGGGAAACCAGGATGGTTCATGTATTGGCTGTGATTTGTATGATGAAAGGATGAGAAATAACCTCAGGAACAAGGAAATTGCCAGACCTTTATATCAAAGGCTGGCGAGTATTTCCGAATACTAGGTGGAATGATTTGATGCATTAGGAAAGACATGTTCCTCAACGTCATGGCACAATCCTCCGATAACCTCAGGGGCTACTCTATTGGGCATCCCCACACATACCCCTACGATCGGTTGGATCCATCTGGCAGAGGACCACAATCTCCTCCTGCTAACTCCACACACTTCGGTCCCTTACAAATCGTGCATGGGGCAATTTCGCCCTTCAATGACAACTTGCAGTGTTTTGCATACCACAGCAATTCCATGTGTTCTGTAAGGCTAATATCCTCCCTACATTGCTGGAAGCATAGCATGGAAAGGCCGGCATTCGCCACCATAGGGATAACATCATGTCCGGGCAAGATCGTCTATCAATACACATGCATTAATTCACATTGGCGCTGCATAGCGGCTTCAGCGCTTAACGGGACTTCCTAAAGAGGAACCCCGAGCGTTTGAAAAGAACTGAGCCACGACTGCTGATTGGGTTAGCAAGCTGACCGCCTCAGGTTATGACGCAACCACAAGGGCAAAGCCTGTTTGCATCCTTCCATCGACTGCACTTCATTCGGTTCTCACTCACCCAAGCTGAAGCTCTCCCCGGACGTTCCGACATTCTCAGGCAGACAGATATTCTACAAATGCTTCCATGACATCACCTGGACGTCCAGTGCAACATCTCCATAAGAGATATACATTATCATGTACTACTGAAGGTCAAATTATGGACAGCTTGTCCATAGCAGGCATGCTCGTGGCATAAGTCTGAAATCGCTGAGATCTTTGCTGACAACGCCAACCCCTTGCTTTTAACTGCAACCTCTTGAGTCTCGTCACAAGCTTTTTTTGTCTCGCGATGGTTTATTTGTTTTCTTATTGCTGTTTTCCAAACCCAATGTATTCGTCAAATGATTCATCCGACCCAAAGGTGGTGTCGGTCCCTTGCAACTCGACATGCACTTCGGGTACGAGATGGACTCCTCTACTCTATGGGACAGTGCCGAGAAAACCTATGCAATTGGGCCCATTGCCGAGCCGAAGTTACTCGGCTCGGCAGGATAAGTTCCATGTAACTATTATTCCGGTTGCGGTAGTCGTAATCGGTATTCGGTTTGTGCAGACTATTGACTATGTTTCAAGGAACGATATTGTATACCGTACAGCTTCTCAGGCTACTGCCTCTCAGCACAGGGCAGTGCAAAGCTGTATCATAGACAAGTCATGACAAGTGTGATAGCGGGTTCCACAAGGCCCAACCAGTCAAAGGGACTCAAGCCATGTGAGGACCGAATAAGAGATATAGCAGACCCCACAAACCAGCACATCCCCACCCGACCCGGATCATGTCTTTCGGGGAAGATATATACTTTCCGCCATAATGCGGCTCGAAAACAGTCAGACTAGTATAGAAGTGTATTTCGAGGCGGCAGGGGCGTCGGTAGAGAACATAAGGTCAGGTAGTGCCCAGGGTTGGTGCATCGGCTGTAAAGCGAAAGAGACTGGTCACCGAGTGTTGTCTGGTGCTACTCAATGCACTAGAGTTCCTCGTTACGCTCGGAACAATCTGCTAAAAGGACCGATACCAATAGAAGATCTTCATTGGATAATGAACAATTCTTCGTTATCCATACGGCCGGGCAGTTATGTCGCTTTTCGGAGCCAATTGATTACTTTAAGAGTTGTCGGCAGCCACCATATCAGTAAGCAAATCGCTTAGATCAATGAATAAGTGTTTCCACCATTGCTGATATTACCCAATGATAACTACATCTTCACGAATGGCAATTAGCACATTAATCCCTGGACCACTGATCGTCCAACGCCAGAGAAGACGACCATGTCCCCATTCCAACCATGGCATGAAGAAGTGCTACTTTGATGTGACTGTCTGTTGCTTCGGAAGTAAGGCGCCTTCGTTGGAATGTTACATTTCCCGGCAACACCGGTACCCGAAGTAACCTCGTCGTGGCCATTTATCAGGTCGGCTCTTGAGCACTACAGCCGGCTACACAATCGATATAACATATTGCGTGCCGGCCTTTTGCTCGGCCATTTGACCGGAATACCAGAATCTGTACAATCGTTTGTGTAGTCTATCTTTCTCTTAGGGGTATTTCCATATCCGGAATTCCGGGTATCTCATTCACGACAGAAACACAGCCAAATCAAGGGAGGGTAGAATAGTGAACAAAACATCTATTAGGCGTTTCCAACTGGAGCAGCTGCTACTAATCAGCTACATACTTCGGCGAGGATGCAGAACTTCGTTTGAACAAAGCCCCCTGCATACCTCTGTTTACCGGCTGTTGAATTAGCAGAATCAGGAACGACTAGCTACTCGGTCACCGTCAAGCTTTTCATATGCTTGCGAAGTACTCACACACATTTATTGCCAATAGTTCTCTTTGGTAAGGTAATTCTAAGAGAATGGTTTCGACCGAGATTGCTTTCTGTCTCTGAGGCCATATATCCCTAGTTAGAATTGAAGTATTATACCATCGCAAATCATGGACGGAATTGACTATCCGGTCTAAAACACTTTCCCGGCTCATGTAACTCCTAATAAAACTCTTGTAGATCGCAACCATAGATCGACGCGGGAGATGTGCTCTAAAGCTTAAATGGTACGTATGCCTCCTCTTTCACCTATGTAAATTAGGTTTTCTTGAGAATAGCCCTATTTACTATGCCTCGAAGATCGAATGTATAACTAATTACCTACCTGGTTCCCACAAAATTATACAAATTTTGCACAACATAGCAATACCAAAGTAACGAATATAGACTGCCTATCCTAATATACTATCCACCACAGAGTTCACCTTCAAAGGCACAACAGCATCGTAATCATCCCTTGCTTCTCATTACTTCACTCCTTTGAAGACACTACTTCCGACAATATCTGACAACTCAGAGTACCAGTACCCAGCCGTAATGAGACAACTGTGCGGATTACCTTAACAAAGTACGGAGTAGTACCTACTCCCGTTACATGGATGCAGTGGCTGGCTAACGAAGATGCAACAAGACAATAGCCAGCTCATCCATCATGCACCTCGATCCACCTAATACGAGATCTCCGACCCCATAGCACCTAACTGTACTCCGTGCCGAGGACTCTCTACAAATCCACGCAACTTATGTATACATCCGAGCTCCTCATACATTTCCTTGACAAACACATTGCAACAGAGATTCCTATTTAGGGTTGATCACACACTGCCAGTAATCCCGTTCTTTTCCGAATGAATACATACATACATGATCAAGCTGTGATTCAATCTCATCATGACGCGTCAACTCCAACCCAGCTCATAGAAATTCCAGAACACAGAAAGTAACACACCGCTCATTCGTAACATCGTCCCAAAACCTCGTCCATCACTGTTCAAGAACTAACCCCCAACACGGAAGCCGAACTACCCTCAGACCCTACACGCCCCCTCCCAGAGCTCCTCGAACCAGAAGAAGCCTTCCTCTTCCTCACCAGATCCCTCCTCTTATACGCCCGTCTCAGAAAGCTATCGTCCAGTACCCTAGCCTGACCGGATCCCATACCCCCCATCACGACCCCGGGGATAGCATATACATTCCTGTAGCCAGGCTCGTAACTATAGTTATAATTATAATGATGGATATAGGTATAGGTATAGTGGTGTTTATAGCCATAGTTCTGTTTGCAGCTGTGTTGATACTCCCCAGCCCCAACGCCGGAGACCGAAGCCAATAACCCCGGGATGGAACTGTGCGGTACGCGTGACCGGAGAGCAGATAACAAGACAGCGTGTTCCAGGCGTCGTCTGTGGAGCTTTGCAGCTTCGAGGGTTGTTTTGTGGGCTTCTGACTCTGATAGTGGGGTTGGTCTTTTGCTTGGTTGTGGGAATGGTGTGGTATGTTGATGATGTTTTGAGGGTGTTTGTGAGGTGATGTGAGGGTTCATTTTTTCGAGTCTATAGGTATGCATGTATAGTTCCTTGGATTGAGATGTTGATGTATCGATTGTTTAATGGGGCTTAGAAGGCAGGGATTGGGTTGCATTTATATACATGGTTGGTTTCTGTGTGGGGTTACATTGACTGTTTTGTTTTTTTTTTTTTTTTTTTTTTTTCTTCCATCAATGTGTCAAAAGAATATTGTGTTGTACTAGAATAATATAGAGTAAATGAACGCCTCGTAGGTTGCGTCGTTTGCAATTGATTAGACTGGTCGATTGGCCATCTAGGGCTGTTTCAGGTTGTTTCAGGTTGGTGTATTCCCCACTTTTTCTATGGTCTCTATATCCTTATCAGCTAGTCACCGCTGGGTTTGGGTAGCATCTGGAGGGGTCAATTGAGGGGTTTATTTGATTGCGGGGCATTGGTTGAGTGATTACGTGCTTTATGGGTGATTGTGGGTTCAATATATTTCATCAATTGAATCGTCTACTATACATACATGAATCATAGACATGCTCTCCTCCCGCGCGGCAAGAACAAAATTTAACGAGTGTGAGAGAAGTCAAAGAAGGAGAAGGGTGAAATAGAAATAGAGTACATCGACAACCCTGCCTGCCGCTGTCCACATGGTAAATACATATGTTAAGTCAGAAATGCAAAAGGAGAGTAGAGTACATCACGACTCTATCGAGAAGGGTGCTGTGGCGTAAGTGGCCCCGGGAGCGGCCCGGCATTTGACCCTTGACTGTACACCCGATGGTGTCCTGGCGCCCCATGAGAGCCAGGGACTACCTCGCTCAAAGTCCCAGATACATGACTTCGTGCCTGGAGGGGGTGGACACCGACTGCCTGAGGCCCACCAGGAGCATAGCTCAGCCCGCCTGCTGGGTTTGGTTGGAGAATCGCCGGGGGAGTATAAGAACGACCCATGGACATTGCCTGATGCTGCGGCCCAGATAGACCTGCTGCCCGGGAGCCCTGAGCTTGCGGAGGTGGTGTATTATGACCGTAATGTGCACCAGCGAGACCGAGCGCAGATCTATGCGGTGGCTGTTGGTGTGCTCCACTAACCATTGTTTGCACATGTTGCTGGTAGGTCTGATGGCCGCTATGATGTTGCTGTGCGGACACATGCGTCGGTGCCGGAGTTACTGATGTTGGTGTAGCGTATGCCGCGCTTGCTGCAGGGCGCGACATCCCAAGCAAATTGGCAGGAGATTGAATAGGAGTGGGAGGGCCTTGGCGGGAACCATAGGCGATGGCATTAGCACGGGGCGTGGGAGACCCGATTGTGGGGCGGAAAACTTGGTTCTGTGCACCTAAGTCTCGCGAGCCGACAGCTGCAGCCTGTGCATGTGTCACTGGCGATGGTGCATAGACGTTGGTGTGATAAGCGCGCTGAGAAGGAGCCGGTGAGGGAGTTGGAACGGGTGATGGGGCACTGAGATTTGGCAGAGAGGCGCCTGGTCCTGACAGTGATTGATTCGAAGCGTAAGGTGAGTACGGGGGTTGTGGCGCCAGTGTTCCACCGGAGCGACTGCTCTGCTGGTGTGGCGGAGGCGGCTGTTGTTGCTGCTGTTGGCCTCGAGGATCAAAACGTGCCATCCAATCATTGTTAGCCGGAGCGCCTGAGCTGCCTGGAACGGGTGTATAAGACTGATAGTCAACGTAACCTCGGGATGGCGGTAGGTACTGGGTTTGCTGAACATATACAGGAGTTTTCTGTGTCGGCATTGCGGAATGTGTCTCCTCTTGACGGGGCGCAGCCGCTGCTTGGGAGTACGAATGTGACCCAGTGTAGACTGGCCGCGACGGAGAGGCTGCAGTTCCTCCAGGATTCGAGGCTTGGTCACTCGCGAACCGTTTACGCGGTTGAGGCTCTTCGGGTTCATCATTCAGGATGCTTAAGATATTTGACCGCTTAGCTGGCACTTGCCGAGGAGCCTCTGGTTCAGCCGCGGTTGGTGCGGGCTGCAGGGCCTCTTTTGGTGGCGACAAGACTGGCGGTGGTTGCGACAAGCCCACATGCTGGCCAGGTAGCGGATAATATGACCTTTGGCTGATATGGTCGTGTCGGATGGGGGACATATCCTGCTCCTGCTTCTGTAGTGGTTGTGCTGGTGAGCTGGGAGGCTTTGTGCCACTGGGTTGGCGGGAATGGGATCCTGTGGGCATAAGCGAAGGCTGAGGCTGATGTTGCATGTAGGACTGTTGCGTCGATGGTAGTGTGCCCTGTGTTGGGAGAAGAGGTGACCCATGTACATCAACACCCGATGTCCGGTATCCTTGAGAATGGATAGGCTCCATACGTGCCATATCAGGCGCTGGCACGGGAGTTTGACGAGCCGAAATCGGTGTTTCCTGTGGACGAGTGGTCGTATGAGGCAGCACAGTGGTTTGCATCTCACGTCTCTCTTCCTGGAAATATCCAAGACGTGGGCCTGGGGCGCGTGGTGGCAAGCTCGCCTGATGAGCGCGAGCCCTGGAAAAGTCCTCGCTGAAAACAGGCCCAGGGGCCATCGGAGTGCTGGCTTGTGCGAGTGGTGGATACCTTGAAACATTACGCTCCTTTTCTGGCGGAGGTCGAGCATGGAGGGGTACTGTCTGCGGAGATGGCGCCGTATGCTTACTCTTAGACACAACTCGGGCCTCGTCTGGCTCGGGCGCTGCACCTTCTGTATGTGGAGCAAGGGGGCGAGGCATGATGATGGATGAAGGTGTTGCTTCGTAGCGCCGTCTCGAGGCAATGTTGGGGGCAGCAGGCAAAGGACCCGTACGTTCTCCCCGAGCCTTTTTGTGCTCCGCATCTGCAACGATGTCTTCGAAGTCTTTCTGGCCGGAGTCTATGCGGCGCTGGAAGTAATTTTTGACCTTTATAGTATTAGCCACATGAATAGAGCTGACATCAAAAAGGAAAAGGGCCGTACGTACCATCACAGTTGTCTTCGTCTTCATGAAGTTCGATATGCCTTCGAAATCGCGACCAAAGTGTGCCAGTAGTTGAGGAAAGTCACGCTGTTCTGGTACAGACCAGTAGCTAGTAGGCTGCAGTGACCCATACCCTACCTCTGACTGCCTGCTAGTTGTCGGAGTCTCCTGTTCCGTCGACTCAAAAACCAACACTCCTTCTTTCTGACGGCCACGTCCGGACCTCGCCCGTGGGGGCACCTCTGCCACCGGTTTCTCGGACTGCTCTCTGGGTCGCACCATCGCCGCTTCGTTCGCACCATCCGTGGCTGGTTCGGGCACCTCCAGTTTGGAGATAGTCCCAACAGAAGGTGCAATCGGCGCCATTGTCACAGTCTGGATCGGCTGCTCTGGCTGGATTGGTTGTGGTAGTTGCTGTGGCTGTGGCTGTGACTGCTGCTGTTGTAGCTGTAGTTGTTGTTGTTGTTGTTGTTGGTGTTGCTGTTGCTGTTGCTGTTGCTGTTGCTGTTGTAGTTGTTGCTGTTGTTGCTGCTGTTGTTGCTGAGCTACTTTGCCACGTCGGCCTCCACGAGAACCTGCACCGGTACGGCCTCGTCGACTAGCGGGTTTCTCTGGCTGATCGCCATCCTTGACTCCCCGACGACCATTGCTAGTATGCTCCGTATCAGCAGAAGAGTCGCCAAAGGTGGGCGCTGCAGCACGTCGTGGTCGGCCGGTATCTGTAACGGGAGCAGGCTCCTCCTCGCCCTCATAATCAGGCTTGACAACCCCCAAATCAGCCATGAGAGCATTGGACTTTGGTCGGGCAGACCTTCTGGCACGACCACGTCGACTCCAGCGCTTGTTGAGCTTGGCCTTATACTTAATCTCTTCTTTCGTAAGATAATAATGGATGATACATTGCCGGAAATCTCGCCCAGGCAAAGATTCGGCAATCTTACCCCATTTCTTCGGATGAGCCATGAACGCATCAGTAAAAATCTCATGCTCCTCAGGAGAGAAGTCGTTGGGCGGCGGGATAAATCCAAAGACATCCATAGCCTTTTCAGGGTCGATTACGTTATTCGTGTCCTTATACACACGTGCCTTTGCTTCGTCCAACTCGAGCATATCTGGTATTACCGCCTCACGAGAAAGATCTGGCTGCGCAGTGGCCTTGTTCCCACGTCGCCGTTCAAGTTCCTCCTGGGCGGAGATTTCTGAAGCTCGGAGAGCATTCTGGAAGTCAAGCTCACTGTTCCCCTTGTATCTCCTTCCTTCGGCGGTAGTAGGTGTTGCTATTGCAGTGCCTGGAGGGGACACGGGGCCTGGCGTCAGTGAATTCTTCTCTTTCGCACGATCCAGATCATGTACTCGGAGTCGCCAGTCCTTGTACAAATCTACGTAATCGTGTTGTAACGCAAGGTTCTTCCTGGCGATCTCTTTCCGACGTTTCATCATCTCTCCCCGAAAGACTTCCTTCATTGACTGGTGGGCTGCGACATTTTCTTGGTAAATGTCAAGGTCAGAAAGAGGAGTCGGGGGGCCGGAATTCAGGAATGGCAGGCTCTCGATGGTGACAGCATCAGCTGCAGGGAGTGAATCCAGGACCATCTTGGCTGATGGTTCCTGGTCTTCGGCATCCTTATCCAGCTTGACCTCAGGAGGAGCAACTACTTCCCCTCGGTCTTCGGCTTCATTTTTAGTGGCCGGCGGTGGTGGAGTTGGAGCTCTCTCTGGAACCACATCATTGGCAATTGTTCCCAACAATTGAATGCGCATGAGCAGTGCAACAATATTCGGATCTTCTAGTGGCGAGGGAGGTAATTCTGCACGCAACGCTCGCATGTCCTTCTCGAAAGTCCGCTTTCGCTCCTCTAGGTACTCTTGCGTAAAAACAACATTTTCATCTTCATCTTCATCGCTAGTCCGACTAAAGTCTGGGATGAGGACATCGGTTTTGCCTCCAGTGGTTTTCTCCTTAGCTCCTACATCTTCCGCAGAAGGTACGTTGGGACTAGTAGCACGGGCAGTTGAAGGCTTGGGGCGTTCGGACGATACAGGCGACGCCTCTCGCTTGGATTCTTGTATCTCCTTTCCAGGGACGATCTCCCCAGCTTCGGGGCCCGATGTGCTGTCATCGATTGACATGCGATGTTCTCGCTTCGGTTCCTCACTGATAGATAACGCCCGCTCCTTTCCATCTATGGAATCACGCTTTGGAGTGACAGTGGAATTAGGCGCAGGAGGAGGGCCCCTGTAGCCAGGACGAACCCACTGTTTATTACTTTTAGGTGGCCCACGGGATACCGATGGTCGCTGTTGAAGAGCACGCGGGCCCGTAGGGATACTTGACGAGTGCATAAGAGGCGATGTGTGTGGACCCGGCGATGATCCGCGATTGGCTGAAGGTGGGCCTCTTGCTGAAAGCTCTGGGGAGCTGACGATAGGCCCGGACTTGTTGGCCAAAGGCGTCTCAACTTGCGGTGCTGGAGGCTCCTTGCTGGTCATAGCCGCCGGGGCAGTGGGTGGGGAAAGGTCCGGTTGCCTCTGTGCACTAGCGGGTGTGACGGAATGAGGTTTGGAGGTGCGTGCCATTGGTTCATGTTTAGTGGAAGTGTCCAGAGTCTCATCACGTCGAATTCGTTGCTCCAGCGGCTGTTGGGGAGAAGTTCGGGAAGCTTTGGGACCCGTCGGAGGCTGTATAGGCCCGCGTGATATAGGTTCATGTTGCTCTTTCTCTACCTTTGGGGCTGATGGAGGCGCGGCACCTGCATCGGACAGCCTCTTCTCTGCAGACAAGTCGGGGATAGGTGCGGTAACAGAGCCAAAGGCCGGGACCTGCGGAGCCGCAGGAGGCGGCGACCGCTTGATAGGAGTGTGAAATTCTTTGGGGGGCTCTGGGCGAGGTGCAACAGGCTCAGGTCGTTCGGGTTCACGCCGAGGCTCAGCTATGGATGGTTTGCGAGTCTGTTCAACGTTAGGGTGGTCGGGAACTCGGTCGGATGTTGCAGGACCAGTATGGAGAGCTGGGGGAACAGGCGGTGCTGCTGAAATGCTGGGTATACGATTTTCATTGCGACTCGGAGGTCGATCTCTCTTCCAAAGATCGGCAGGTCTATCTCGATCGTCGCGTTCCATACGTCGGTCAAGTTCATCACGACGGTCAAATCTTTCACGACGATCCAACTCCCGGTCTCTTTCGCGGTCACGGCGATCGATCTCTCGGTCACGGTCCATTATACGCTCTCTCTCACGATCGCGGTCGCGGTCTCGGTCTCGGTCGCGGTCTCGATCACGGTCACGGTCGCGGTCCCTATCTCGGTCCATAATTCGATCTCTTTCTCGGTCACGGTCCCATCGGCCATCCCGTGAACGACTTCGGCGTCGAAAGGAGTCACGATCATCCAGATAAGGGATACGGCCGCGCCCACGTCCGACATCCCAATCTCCCCGCCCACGACCACGCATAGGCCCGCCACGAGGGTGGTGACCAGGTCCTGAGGATGGGATGTCCGCAGTAGTCGATGAGACTGAAAGAAGGCTGTCTCTGGAACCGCGTCGCATCCGCACCAGATCTGGATCCCTCCCAATAGGTTCTCTCATATCGCGAAAGTCGCGAGGAGGCGGCGGGGAACGAGAGCGACCGCGACCAAAGCCGATCCGTGAATCCCTGGGGTCAAAGTCCCGGTCGCGGCGACCCCAATCGCGGTCAAGATCACGGCGGAACGGAGGAGGTCCATCACGAACATCTCGAAAATCGCGATCGCGGTCTCTGTCCCTATCTCGAAGATCCCGATCCCGATCCCGAAAATCCCCACGGCCCGGATATCCTCGACCTCGACCACCAAAGGGAGCTCCCCGAGGAGGATCAATTAATGCCTTTGGACCCCGAGGCGGCTCTCGGCCCAGCGGGGGCAGATTCGCATCATCAGAACCTCGAGGGCCCGCAGGAGGTCGACGGTCACCGAAGCGCTGCGGAGATCTGTCGCGGGAATTAAACCCAGATAATGGGGGGTATCGTGAAGACATCACCAGGTCATGCTAGAAAGTGTATTCTCGAACAACCCGGCAGATAGCCTGCTACAGGTTAGTTAGCTGAAAAAATTATAGAACAAAATCGAAAAACGCAGTAAGTATCCAGGTTCAAGACTGGGGGATCCAGGGAAGGCAGAGCGCGAGGCAACGGGTGTGGAGAACACGTGATCTTTAAAAGTGTGGAAGCACGGGCCAGAATAAAAGTATTATCTAATCGATCTAACCAAATTCAGGTAAGACCCAGCAGGTGAGAAACTCGAGATTTGATTGATGATTGACTGGTTCTTGCTTTAGCGGCAGCCACTTGGCGTGGCTTGTTTCAAATGTGACGGAGGACGTGTGAGGGCGTGTGGATCAGCAGACAAAGAGGGGAGATGAATGAGACGCAGTGAGGTGAGTATCCAGATTTTTGCCTGGGAACTGAAATTGCTGGATTGGACGCGTGGAAATGCCCTTGGTACTGCGGTCCACCACCGAATCATCGCTGCTGCGTGGCTTTTTACGAGCCAATATGATGATCTTGATCCCAGAATTCGAGAAAGCAACGGGGAAAAAAAAAAGGGAAAAAGGTCCAAAGGGAAAAAATAAGAATAAAATAAGAACTAAAAAAAACCACAACAATATGCGCACCTCTTGACAAAATGCAGCGTATCAAGCAGCCAACTGTACGATGACTGCAAGGAGTGATGGCCAGACAACTGAGCTAGATGACTGTTGGAACTTGGAGCTAATTAACCAGGATAATCGAAATTCGGCCAAAAATAGCTGGGAATAATAGCCGACGATAGGTCACGGACCGGCCTGAACGTGAAGACAAGCTATACCACCAGGTACGAGGATTGAGAGAGTGAATAAAAAGGAAAGACAATATTGACAGAAATCGATCGGAGGAAATGTGGACAAATGATGAAGAAAAAGAGAGGAGGAGAAAAGAAACGGGGCCAGAGGTGGATGAACGGATGGATGGATTAGTAGATGGGGTGGAGGGCCCTCTGCCGCCGACTGTATGGTTGGGTTTAATTTTAGTTGGCCAGGGACTCTTCTTAAGGGGAACTCAAAAATAACTGCCCACGACTACTGGCCCTACAATCGCCGTGACCCTGGATTGACTCTTCATGCCTGAGGCCACAGAGCCTCGTCGTCTTTCACCCAAACTGCAAAGCTCCTGACCTTGATGCCCCAGGCATCGTATGGAGACACCACTCCTGCACAGACGGATCGAACTAACCAAACCCGGTTAGTCATCTACTACCCCGATTCTCTTGTCACACCTGAGGCATTCCTCAGCGTTTTTTTGCCCGACCAATCACCCCACCATATTGTCTCAGAAGAAAAAGCCACAGAAAAACCTAGGAAAGGGAAAACCTAACCCATTTCGCATCTTTTGTAAAACAAATACTTGCTTTAGAATCCCACGAAGACCTAGACTGTCTAGCGTTCTTTTTATTTCCTTCTGCTTCAATCTTTTCTTTTTTTTTTTCTTCAAGACAATGTCCTCTCAACCAGCGGAGGCTGCCCCTCCTACCTCTGCTACTGATGCCGTCCTAGTTGCTTCAGAGCCCGTTCCTGAGGGGACTCGTCAGGTTCAGGGTGTGGACTTTGAGCGTTTCCACGGCCGCGATATTACCGTCGCCGAGATGGTGGATAACATGAGATACATGGGCTTCCAGGGTACCGCAGTCGCCGAGGCTACACGCATTATGAATGATATGGTAGGACAAACTCCTCTAAATATTTTTTTCTGCGACCCACTATTGGCTTCCTTGCTGATATTGGTTACCTATGTAGCGAGCCTACCGCCATCCGGAATCGGGAGAGAAGGCGACAATCTTTCTTGGATACACTTCCAATCTAATCTCATCGGGCCTTCGGGATACCATTCGCTACCTCGTTCGCCATCGTCACGTTTCTGCAATTGTCACCACGGCCGGCGGAGTGGAGGAAGATTTGATCAAGTGTTTGGCCCCTACGTACATGGGTTCCTTTACGGCTCCTGGGGCTGGGCTTCGTGCGAAAGGACTAAACCGCATTGGCAATCTACTGGTCCCGAATAGCAATTACTGTGCCTTTGAAGATTGGTTGATCCCGATTTTAGATAAAATGTTGGAGGAGCAAGAAGCCGCCAAAAAGAAGGCTCAACAGACCGGTGATGAGGAGGATGAGCTTCACTGGACGCCCAGCCGTATCATTGAACGACTGGGCCGCGAGATCAACCATGAGGATTCCGTGCTTTACTGGGCCGCGCGCAACAACATCCCCATCTTTTGTCCCGCTCTCACCGATGGCTCCTTGGGGGACATGCTGTATTTCCACACTTTCAAATCCTCCCCACAACGACTGCGAGTGGATATCGTGGACGACGTGCGTCGCATCAACACGATGGCCGTCCGGGCCGCCCAGGCAGGGATAATCATCCTCGGTGGTGGAGTGGTGAAGCACCATATTGCCAACGCGTGTCTCATGCGCAATGGAGCGGAGCATGCCGTCTATGTAAATACGGCCCAGGAGTTCGACGGAAGCGATGCTGGAGCTCGTCCCGATGAGGCTGTGAGCTGGGGAAAGATCAAGGCGGATGCCAAGGCAGTTAAGGTGTATGCGGAGGCAACCGTAGTCTTCCCAATGATGGTTGCGGCATCATTTGCTCGGGCCGACCAGTCTCCTGCAGATTCAGCTGACCAGGCCCAGAACTAAGGCATGAGTGTTTTGTTTTTTTCCACGGTGGTAGGCGGGGTAAGCTACGAGCACAGGACCGTGCGATAATTAGACGGGTCTCACGCCAGCAGCCCGCTCGGAGGCGGTTTCCCTCGATCCTCTAATTCTCTGCAGTGTCTAAAGTGTGTTGAGGAGTCCCTTGCGGGCACACTGCCTGCTTCTCAAATCAGACGATCCATTGGGGCTCCAGAGGTGGCGACGATAAAACCCCACCAGATGTGTCGTCTCGGTAGTGTCGGAAGGGGTAAGATACCATTCTAGAAGCTGAGGGAGGCGAACCGGATTATAAGCTCCGATGACAGACTCAAACCGCCAGGGAACCGAGGAAGGACAAAAAGGAAAAGAAGAGAAAAACTTTACTTTTTTGTTTTTAAGACTTGGTTCTTACCACGAGTGAGAAAGTTCCATGACCCGCGATCCCGGGGCGGGACAGGCACTAGTAAGGCCATTAATTTGTCTTGCAGAGGCAAAGTGCCTGAGGCGGAAAGTAGGGATGGCGAATCAAAAAGACAACGAATTGTGGAACCAATGGAGCGCGTTCCACAGGTCGATCATTCGTGACCCGTGACAGTTGATTAGGTGGACAACTAAGGTGCCGAAGAAAAACGGATACCCGAGTTAATTCCTTGAGTGCTCTATGGGATCTTGCCACAGCGGAAAAGGGGGGCGGATACTAGTCGAATACTGTTGTCCAGAGCTTCACAAGGACACGACGAGACATTGAACATCCATCAAATCAAACGGAATTGATCCGACGGACTCTAGACCTTCTGACTGGTAGATCGTAGTATGCTTACTCTCCCCCTAAGGAAGAATGATAACAGCTCAAGCCGAAGATCAAATAGGATCGGGAGAAGTCAGATCTCCACCCCATCAGGAACAAGAGGGGGGTCGAGGTGGCAATCGCAGACTGGAGCGTCATGTACTTACTAAGTCAAACGGAATGAATTGTTCCCCAACGAGGGCAACTGAATAAATTCGCCCATGTGTCCATTGGACCGGCGGTGAGTGCAGGTGATTTGGCTCTCGGCTGCATTGCCGCCTCATCTTTGTCTTTGGTTCCTAATACCCCCCTCTCATTTTTCTGCCTCGTACTCATCTATTTTCCTTCTCTTTACTTTTTTTTTTCTTCGTTCCTTCTTAGTCCCTGTGATCTTTCCTCACTTTCTTTCGTGTTGCCCCTTCTTCGCCCAGTGGTGAACATCCTTCTACTAGCACTCCTTCAGCAATCCATTGCTGTCATTTCCTTCCTGGGCTTAGACTGCCCCGTACTACTGATAAGCCATCCTTATCGGGGGAAATCTAGACCCTCGCTTTCTGCTTCATCGTTTGCTCTGTCAATTTTCCTTGTGCTCCTATCTTTGTTGAACCGCTAACTCTCTTCTTCTTTATGGACTGTTACGTCCTAAGGTAGAAGAGAACGAAAAGAGTATCGCTTGCGAAGCTGTTTTCTGCCTGGATGTTTGGTTCTTGAGTTTTGCTTATACCTCTCACACTTACTATTCCTCAACTTTAACCAGGCCTTGTGTTTGAGTCATCCTGTATCCCTCGTATATTACCCTTTTTATTATTACTTGTTCTTGTGGCTCGTATAATTCCTGAGGTCATCTTTCTTATCTCCCGACGAGCACTATTGAAAGCTCATTAGAGTGTTATCACTCTCCATCATTCACAATGGACACCACCAGCGAGACATCGGTTACAGTTGAGCAACTTCCTCCTGTCACGCCAAATATGGAACCACATTCAACAACAGACACGGGTGCAACGACAGTCGCTCTGGACGCGCCGATCAGCGACGCTCCAGAGTCTTCGACAGACCAATTGAACAACGCCATGGAGTCTCCCTTACTAATGCCAGAACAAAATATATCATCTCAAGATACTAGTGCTGATGAGCATGAGCCTACCATTCGGTCTGATATCTCTGCCCCTCCACGACCCCCACCTCCGGAGGTCGAACATGCTTATTGGGCGGAGATGGAGGAGGATACCTCGGTCCCGGACGAGGCTGAGATGAAGGAAATCGAGTCTGCCGCTGATGGGGACTATAGCGCTTACGAATGTGAGTCCATAGTCGGTAACATGGGAAAACATCACTAATAATAGTAGACTCTTACTGGGAGAAGAACTTCCACCCGGATCTGGACGATCCCGAGTATCGTCCCGTTGAGAAAGCTCGTCTTACATGGAAAATTAATGGTGTTAGGGGCACAAAAGATCATCCCAATCGTTCCAAGGTCATGCGCTCTCCAGCCGCCTACATCGGCGGCTACTGGTGGTCCATCAAGTTTTTCCCCCGCGGAAACAACGTCGGTTCCCTGAGCATCTATCTTGAATGCTCGCCCACTATGCCCCCTCCTGACAAAACTTTACCCGATACTGAGTTTAAAGTGCTCCGGGGTCCAGCTGATGTAGATATTAATGGCCATGCTCCCGATCTGGACCTCAGGTTTGGCCACACAGATGACCCCGCAGCTTGGCTGGAGAACTACAAGTCACATTATCCACCGGCTGCAAAGGAAGAAAAGACAATTTCCAACACTTGGAGAGTTTCGGCACAGATTGGTGTCATCTTATACAATCCAGATGAACCACGGACTGGATGGATGCAGTCATCTTGCCATCAATTCAATCCACACAATCTTGACTGGGGCTGGACTAGCTTCCATGGCCCGTGGGATCAGATCCACCGCCGGCAGCGGGGCCAGCGTCAGGCACTACTCCGCAATGATACCTTGGCGTTTGATGCCTACATCCGTATCATTGACGACCCTACTCGCTCGTTGTGGTGGCATCCCAGTGATTCGGAACCTACCTGGGATAGTCTAGGGCTCACGGGCTACCGCCCGCTTGGAGATTCCGTTATCAACCACAGTGCCGAGGTCGCGGGGCTAGCCACATGGTTACATATTGCACCTTTCTGCAAAATCATTCAAAACGCCAACATTGTTGAACATCACGCCAACTGTGACGTCAAGCCCAAGCCGCTCTGTGATGCGCTGCAGAGGTTCCTCTGGCAGCTACGCTCTCGTAAAAATTCTCTTCAGTATGTGGACACGGACATCATCACATCTACGCTGCGCAATCTGCATGAGTATTCCGGAGATGTATGTGATTTCTGGGAACGCTTGCGACGCACCCTCGAGTTGGAACTTGCAGGTACAAGTGCGGTGAAAGACCTGGCTGCGCTGTTCGATAGCCCAACCCCTGATCTACTTCTCCAGGAGGCTCAAGGATCAGATGTGGTCAACACTATCCCAAAGGATTTCAATTCACGTATTTGTGTGCCTGCCGACCAGGTAAAGACAATACATGAAGCCCTCAGCAATTACCTGGGTTCCAAACCAGGCCGTTGGGCACTGCCGCCTATTCTTCATGTGGAGATAAGTCGCCAAAAGCTCGACAAAGCAGCCCGGCAATGGCGGTTAATCTACAATCGAGTTGACCTGGACGAAGAGCTGGACCTTTCGCCATGGCTACTACATGGTCAGTGCGGAAAGTATGTCCTGTACGGTTACATCGTCCATCGGGGTCGACGCACTTCGGGTAAATTCTTCAGCATTCTTCGCCCCGGTGGTCCTGGAACTAAGTGGCTGGCATTTGATGACGGAAGCGATAATCGTGTTGAGTGTTTAACACGTAAAACAGCCTTGGGACATCATCTAGGGCTAGACGCAAGTCAGAAGGTCGACCATAAAACCGGCCATGATGTTGCCATTGCGGCGATGTATATCCGCAGTGACCTCGTGTCGCAGTATCTACCGGGCCCTCAAGGGCCATGGGCTGCGTCTCCAGCCATGAAAGAATATTATGAACGTGGAATTTATCCCTACGCAGAGTCGCCTGACAGGAAAACAACGGAGGACATTCAAGTCGAAGTCTACTCTGCTCCACAATATGATAAGCTCGACAGCTTGTTCGACACATACGATCTGATGTCGCAGGCGAAGGCAGCTAATAAGGTCATGTACCTGACAGTGCCCCGGTCAACGAACCTGATTGAGCTGCGCAAGAAGATTGCTCTGTGGGCTTCTGCAGGCGCCCAAGATCAGACCGGCCCAGAGCATATTCGGCTCTGGCAGATTGGGCATACTCGCGATCGGTTCGGTCCTACGCTCGCGTTCTCTCGGGTATCAGACCTGAGAACCACATTGAATCTGCCCATGAAGACAGCTCGTTTCTGGATACAGGTGGTCTCAAATGGTGAGTCCTCACGTACACGCTCTTAGACCAACCCGATGCTAATAGTTTGATAGTGGACGCAAAGTATTTTGCCATGGCGGATCCGCGGGAAGTGGAAGTCCCACAGACCAAGCCTGAGGAGGCTATTTTCGAACGTGAAGACTCTGATTCCTCTGACGATCAGCATTCTATTGCTGAAGTCGAGGCTGCACAGGCAGGCCCATCTGGCACCGCTTCTCGCGTGGATGACACTGTGCAAGTCGTGACTACAGACGCCTCTTCCGAACACTCTATTAATGTTACCGAAAACTTGGGAGATGGTGTTGCAGCATCTCTGGAGATGACTCACCCCGAAGATGACATCCCTAACGGGGCTGAAAATGATACTGTCATTGCTGCAATAATCGCTGAGGATATCCAACAGATGGAAACGGAACAATCAACAGACACTCCTCAAACCAACGATGTCACAAACGAGCCCCAGTCTGTTGAAGTCAGCACAGAGTCCTCTCCAACTGATGATACTTCTGCACATCCAATGGAGCCGGAGCCCGCATTACCGGTGGACCATGTGTATTATTTCATCCAAATTTTTGATGTAGAGGCACAGGCTTTGCGAACTGTCGGATCATTTTTCTCTCAGAAGGAAGAGACTATCAAGGCTGCAGTGCGGAAGCACTTGCAATGGCCCGTGAGTAAAGACTTTCAGGTCTGGCAGCGCGTGGATGGCACTACGGTGACAACTATGTCCTCTGCCGAGACATTTAATGTGTTCGTGCCCGATGGTACTTGCTTCATCGTTGGAGACAAGATGAACAAGGACAAGTAAGTCAAGCCTTTCCCATTAATATCATACCCAACAGTATACTAATCTGGCTACCTTCTAGACGTTTGAAGCTTAACCAGCAAGGTTTACTAGCCAACCCTGATCAGCTGGTGCGGTATCTGTGGGCCAAATCCCGCAATCACCCCATCAAGGCATTTACTGGTTTCAAGACCATCGAAGCATCATTCACCAATGAATTTTATAGCGGTGATCTGAACAAAGGATACTACCATGGTAAAGGAAAGCATGTCTCCGATTCAGCCGCTACTTACGATGGGGATTTCGTCCTCGGAAAGCGTCACGGTAAGGGATACATGGAGTATCCTATTGGCGATACCTATGATGGAGATTGGTTCGAGAACCAGTGCCATGGCCAGGGCACCTTCGTCGAAAAGAAGACAGGCAACAAGTACGTGGGTGGTTACAAAGATGGTAAGCGTCATGGA